CCAAGGGGTGGCGGCGATGAGCCCCTCCACTGTCCTCACAGCTTCCCCAGAAGACCCGGCCGTCCGGGGCCACGGATGCTGGAAGGAGGGGCCCAGCACGTGCTCTGGCCGCCGTCTCCACCCCGTCATCCCCGCCGTCTCGCAGAAGCTGCGACGTGCGTGACTGTCTGTCCTAACCATGCACAGTCCGCGGCCGAAGGAAGGGTCCGGCCCCCAGGGACCTGCCCCACCGGGAGCGGCCTCCCTCCCGGCTGGCGGACAGCGTCCTCAGGCACACATGGGCGCCCAGGCACCTGGAGCTTGGCCCACCAACTCCTAAAACGCCCATTATGGGCTTAATGGCTGAGCCACTAACAGATTGCCATTTAAGATCAATCCAGTCTTCAGTTTAATTAGCTCATTACAATGCGGACTGCCGTCTGATGGTGGTCACGGGAGAGCCGCCTGCGGGCCTGACCGGGCCCAGCTGGCAGGACGGCTCGTGAAGAATTCCCATGAAGCAGAGACCCAGGAGCTCTGGGCGAGGACGGAGAATGGGGCCCCCTGCACACTGCTGTTCCCCCTCCCCCCAGACCAGAAAGACAGACCAGGAGCCAGGGGCCAACCTGATGCCAGCGACCTCGGACCACAGGGGAGGGGCAGCGCCGTCCGCCCCGATCGCTCGCTCGAGGGAAGGCGCGTGGACCCACACAGGCCGCAAGTGCGCGTCAGGCCGTTCCCCCCACACCTGAGAGGCAGAGGATGCGGACGGAGCTGCGTGACACGGGGCGGCAGGGACTGACGCGGAAGCGGGGGGGGGAGCGAGGGAGGGAGGAACCCCCTGGAATAAAACGTCACCCAAGAAACAGAAGGAAAGTCTCCGTGGAGCTTTACATCACAGACAAGGGTCAGAATACAGATTCAGTAAGACAGGAGCTCAAATTGAGACAATAAAATGGTGCTGGAAATGTCAAGAGCATTTTCCCGGCTGAGAAAACTGGAAAAGAACTAACACGGGGAGAGCTGAGCAATAAGCTCGGGACAGCAGGAACCAGACGGAAGGCTTGGAGGCAAAGCACCGGCCGGACGAAAGGTCTGAGAGATTGTGGGTGGCAGGCAGGTGGAGGCAGCCGCTGACTCCCTCCTCCCGGCACGCTCGCTGGACCCCACGGGCCTCCGCAGTCTGCCCGGAACCGACTGCGAGCAGTGAGCGCACGGCACACACGTAGTTAGCGCGATGCCCTCGAGGAGCCGGCCCGGCTGCCGCGGGGATGGGGATGCCTCCTCGAAATGCAGGCTGAGCCAACGTCCCCGTATCAGAGGAAGGAGGAGAATCAGCGCTAAGATACACCCTTGCTACGAGGATGCTCTCAAAGACAAAACATCTTCTGACAACCAGACAGAAAAAGCAAGCAAACTGGCGACCACATGGGGAGTAAAGTAAAAACCGGGCTGGTCCGGCCCGTCCCCCGGGTCTGCGGGAGGCTAGGGGCGCAGCCGGGCAGATACCCGCAGACGTGAGAAGGTGGTGCCGACCTCTGGCCCCCAAGGGAGACGGGTGCTGAGACTGTCTGGGCGAGGGCCTTGCAGCGGAGGGAACGGTGGGGTCCCGACACCCACAGGGGCTGGAGGGGCCACGCTCACTCGCGGGGTTTCGGGAGCCTTTCTCTCCGGAGTTGGGCAGGTCCTTCCGTTTCAGGACTATTTTTAAATATTTTCTTTGTGAAATTCAAGTAAAGTTAAATTGAACATCAAACCTTCAGTAGAAAACATAGGAGAAAGGAGGGCTTTTTAAAGCATAACACAAAACTCAGAAGCCATGGAGCAGAAGACCAACAGATTTGTGTAAACAGGAGACATCTGCACGTAGCAAAACATGAACAAGAAGCTAAGTGACCACACCTTTGAAAGTGAAGATACACCTGCGCCGGTGCGTGACGAGCTGCCCGTCGGTAAGAAGAGGCTGGTAACCCAGTGACGCGGCAGCAGGTCCACAGAAAAGGAAGAAATATCTCCCAAATGGGAAGAGACGCTCAAACCTCACTCAGGATAAGGAAGTCAGGTTAAGATGCCGTCTCCCACCTGCCTGGGATGAGGGACAGGTGACCACCGCCCCCAGACCCCCCGTGGGCAGGTGAGACAGGCATCTGTGCAGGAAACAGGTGAGTGCTCAGTAGGCCCTGCCGTGCACAGAGGTGTGTGTCCAACAGCGCCAGACACAGCAGTTGGAACGGCACGCCCGTCCGTCCGCGCTGTGTGTGTATATATTTCTTTCTCAATGGGTAAAAAGTTCAAGTCACATTTTCTCTGGGTTTTCAGGGCTTCCTTCCAAGCAAGAGCATCTGGTGTGAAGTCAGCCTGTGTGTCATCCACCCGTTTTCCAAATTAATAAGATGTTCTGGTAACCGGCTGCTGTAGAGGAATGTGGCGGGGGGTTGGGACTCCGAGTTCCCCAGGGGCTGAGTTTTGTTGCTGTTGTTAAGGGCCACCTGGTTCCTCGGCACCTTCCTGCCCCGCTGGCCCCGCGGTTGTCAGAGGAGATTGAGATCCGAGGTCCACTGGGAATGTCTAATCTGGGGAGACGTTCGGCTAAAGACTGAGCACGAGCCCCAGGACCGGAAGCCAGCCCTGGGCCGCCCCCCTCTGCCACCCTGGCAGGGGGTTCGCTAGGGGTCAGCGGTCACTCGTGCTCTGCACCTGGCCCTGGGCCCAATGACCCGCGGTGCTGGCCTCAGCTCCAGGGGCCCCCAGACCAGCGGGCACCGCGGGGGTGAAGGAGCAGTTGAGGGGCCGTCCCAGACGTGACCTCCGCTGGAGCCTGGCCAGGCCAGGAGGACAGCAGGAGACACACATTTCGTGGGGAGCAGCAGCTCTGGTGAATGGGGTGGGGTCCCGGGGGAGGCCCTCCGTGCAGTTTGCTCGGGGCTCGCTGGGAGTTTGGGGGGCAGGAGCGGACGCCTCACAACTGCCCAGCAGGCAGGGGACTCGGGACGCGCCTGCGGCTCTGGGCGGCTTTTCCAAACTCGGCTCCCGGCCGCCGAGCCCATCGGGAAGGAGAAGAGAGGACGAGCCCGCCGTCTGTGGACTTCAGGGAACCCCGGGGAGGTGCAGAGGAGGGGCGAGAGCCGCAGGCCTTTCTATACCAGCACAACTCCCGAGCGGCGTCAGAGCCCAGTGCGGACTCCTGGGCCCAGGGCCTGCTGATCCTGGTGGCCGGGGGGGCCTGGGGCCTGCAGCGGTTCTTGCGCTGCCCTGTGCGCTTGGCCGTTGGGGCCAGGAGCCACGGGGCGGAGGGGGCGTGGGCACGGCCTCCCAGCCTAGGGCGGCCCTGACCGACCGTCACTCAGCCCGGGGTGCGGGAGTGTACCGTCAAGGGAAGACGCGTCTCTCCGGGTCCTTGCCGGGTGGCCGGGGGGGAGCAGGTGCCGCCAGAATGGGGCTCTGGGGCGCCGGCCCGTCTTCCCCACGTCAGGGCCCCTCCGACGACGCTGGGCTCAGAGAGCCCCTCCTGGGGGCCGCGAGCCTGCCAAACCCCGATGCCCCGCGCTCACGGGCAGGGCAGGGCTGGAGGACTTCCAGGGAGCTGGGGCTCGTGCTCAGTCATGGCCTCCCTTGCCGTACCCGCGGCGGCCACCGAGGCCTGGTAACTGTGTCACGTGGAAGCGTTGAGGCATCAGCCTCCCGGCCTTTGAGTCTCCCCACGAAGGCGGGACCCCTCTGCTGGCTCCTGGGCACCTCTACTTGGGAAGCAGCGGCCCTCACCTCCCACCTGCCACGTGTGGAAACTTTCAGAGGAAGAAGCTCGCTCCCAAGTCAAAATGTGCAGCTGGTGCCGGGGCGCCAGCGGGTCCTCGGGTCCTGGAGGCAGTGCCCGTTCTCCCTCCACCGGCTGAAACCTGACCCTCCCCGGGCCACAGAGCAGGGCCCGCACCTGTCATGCTGCATCTCAACCAGACGCGGAGAGGACCGTCCCGGGGGACGAGGCGCAGTGACACGGGCCCTCCTTCCTCAGGGAGCCCCCTTGAGAGCCAGCATCTAACCCCCAGATGTCCCCTGGCTACCAGCGAGGACACAGGCCAGGGACAGGGTGCAGGGCTCCTGGATCAGAACCCGCGGGACCCGGCCCAAGAAGTCTTCCCTGAGACAGCTGGGACGGGTCCGCCTCTCCCACTGGACGCCCCGCCCCTGCTGCCCTGGGGTCCTTGCATCTCAGGAGACAGCTCTCCTTAGAATACAGAAGAAGAGCTCCCCATAAACAGAGCTTGCGTGAGTGAGGCGAGAGCTACCTCAGACTGCTCGAGCTGAAGAGTTCACCTCTTCTGTCAACATTCCAGCTATTTTGAAATCAGACGTAACACAGGATTCTTATCACATTTTCCCTGAGTCTTAAAATAGAACAAAGGAGAAATGGCCCCAACTGTTGGGAGTGCACGCCTCCCTCGAGGTCCTGGCAGGGTTGACAGGTGAGGGGGCCGTCGCTGGGGAGACCTCTGCGCCCCGCTGTCCCCCAAGCGCGTGACTGCGGCGGTGGGGCTGACTGCTGCTGGGGGGCCCTGAGGCCCTGGCCTTACAAGGCTCTCATCCTGGGCACTCTGACCCCAGGAGAGCCAGGTAGAGGGGACGGCCGGCATGGGGTTCCTCCACGGAAGATCAAAACACAGCTAGGCTTCAAGCAGGGTGAGGGTCCCGGTCACCAGGTACGGCACGAGGGATGATGTCGGAGGGGGTCAGTGGGGCCTGCACTCTGCCCACCAATCCGGGCCTCCGTCCCCAAGCCACCGTGCAGCCTCTCTGGCCTATCACAGGGGGCTCCCTGTGGAGGGGGGCCATTCTCTGAGCAGGAGGCAGGGGCACATCTGAGGAGGGTGTCCTTGGGGCCAGGGTGACTGGCAGGGCCTCCTCTGCGGCCACAGACCCGGACGTCGGGCCTTGTTTCCCGAGCTCATGTCTGTCCTGTGGTGCCAGGCAAGACCCCCCATTGCCCCCCCGTGGGGTCCCGGCCCCCCTGACCCCTCCCCTACCCCGCAGGCTTCCACGTGTCCCACAAGGTCACCAGCGTCGTCCCCGAGAGCGCACTGCTCATCGTGCTGGGCCTGGTGCTGGGCGGCATCGTCCTGGCGGCCGACCACATCGCCTCCTTCTCACTCACGCCCACGGTCTTCTTCTTCTACCTGCTGCCGCCCATCGTGCTGGACGCCGGCTACTTCATGCCCAACCGCCTCTTCTTCGGCAACCTGGGCACCATCCTGCTGTACGCCGTCATCGGCACCGTGTGGAACGCGGCCACCACTGGCCTGTCCCTCTACGGCGTCTTCCGCAGCGGCCTGATGGGTGAGTGGGCACCGCCCCCCGACCGGGGGGCTCATGGAGGGTCCTGGGGGGTCCTCAGGGCGGGCTCCAGGCAGCCTCGTTTAAGAAAGCCCAGGACGAAGAACACAGACCTTACGGGGGGCGGTGAGCTTAGGGGTCATCAAGAGATGTCACCGGTGGCCACGTGCCCCTCCTGGCTTGTAAGTCGTCAGTAGCCAGCCCACGCCCGGCCCCAGGCCGAAACACGTGTCCCACTTGGGAGTAAAGTCTGGTCCGACCAGGTCAGGCAGTGGGTGGCGCAGTGGGAACGAGCCAGCTGCTGTCCCGCCCCCTTGGCGGGGAGATGGGGTCCAGCCTCAGTCCCCCCATCTCCAAGAGGCCAGGGAAAGAGGAGGAGGCCCCTGTGGCAGAGGCTGGCATCCCAGTCCCACGATCGTGGAGCCCAGGTAAACCTGAACCTGAGCAGAAGGTTTGGGTGTCATTTCTACGCAAACCGGCGGGGAAGAGCCGCGCCAGCTTCTCCTCTGTCACCGTGGCGTCTGCGTCTCCTGCTCCCCCACCCCCGCTGGTGCTTCCTGCCGGCTGGTTACTAACCTCGGCCCTGGCATACCTCAGAGGTGCACCCCACCCACCTGGGAGCTGGCCATTATCCACCGGGGAAACCGGAGCAGGTGGGGCCTGGGCTCACCTGAGGCCTCGCGCAGATGTGCCCGATTGCACAGCCCTAAATGCAGCCCGTCCCGGCGTGGCTACGGCCGCCCCTATTCGCCTCCGGGCTCTGCAGTTTGAGCTCCTGGCATCGGGGACCACTGGAGGTGGGTGTCGGCACCCCGGGCGCCAGTCCACACTCAGCCTTGGCCTCAGACACTTCCACCAGCTGAACCAGACCCAGGGCCAGGCCCTCTGACTGAACGAAGGGCACCCCCGAGCCCCACGGTGGGGCTCACGACCTACCTTGAAGTCGCAGTGACAAGACTATTAAGAAACAGGGGCCGAAGGTCCCCCTTGGGGAGGAGTCACCTCGGGACTCTGTCCTCACCCCGTGGGGAGCGCGCGCTTCCGCGAGCCCTCGCTGCCGTCCGGCATCACCCCCAGGCCCGGCCGGGAAGCCCACGAAGGCTGGCGTGAGGCCGCACGCGCCCGGCCAGGCCTCCCAGGCGCCTGAGCTGCAGGGGCCGTGTGGGTGCGATTAGACTGCTTTCATCAGCTGTGCCTTAGGCAGTTGGGACAATCTAAGGCCATCGGGCCACCTCCAGCTCCCGGGCCCAAGGGTAGGTCTTGGGGTTTGGAACGGGCATTCCTGCTCCTCGAGGGCGCACAGCTGTCTGAGGCCTGTGCTCAGCCCTTGTGACACAGCTGGTCAAGGCCGGGTGTCAGCCAAGGTCATGGAGCAGAGCAGCGCCCAGGGGACACCCAGAGCCGGGGCCCTGCCGCCTGGAGAGCAGTGGTGGGTCTCTGCTGAGCGGCGGCCGGGCTCCAGGCTCGCAGGTGCGGCCCAAGGCCAGGGTGCGCCTCCGAGGAAGGGTCACCTGGGGGGCGTCTGGGCACAGCGGCCCAGCACCCAGAAGCTCTGGGCCATAGACAGGCCCTGCAGGTGGGCAAGGCCGTGGCAGAAATGAGGTACTGGAACACACAGCCTGGCGGCCCTGAGCCCACAGTGCGGTCCCGGGACCTTCCTGGCAGGGCTGGTGGGTGGTGGACTGACCCGCCAGGGAGGAGGGCAGGCTGCCCCCCGCACCGGGCTCTCCTGCCTGGGACGCTGCCCCCCCCCACCAGGGCTCTCCTGCCTGTGAGGCTGGCCCGCCCCCAGGGCTCTCCTGCCTGGGAGGCTGCCCCCCCAACCCCGGCTCTCCTGCCTGGGACGCTGCCCCCCGGCTCCCCCCAACGGCCCCTCGTCTTCCAGGAGACCTGAACATCGGGCTGCTGGACTTCCTCCTGTTCGGCAGTCTGATCGCCGCCGTGGACCCAGTGGCTGTCCTGGCCGTGTTTGAGGAGGTGCACGTCAATGAGGTGCTGTTCATCATCGTGTTCGGGGAGTCGCTGCTCAACGACGCCGTCACCGTGGTGAGCGCAAGCGGGAGGAAGGCACCTGCCTCTCGGGGCCTCTGCGCGCGCCCCGCCAGCGCCTCTGCCGCGCTGTCCTGCTCCAGGGCCTCCTAACTCAGAATGACCGGCGGCTTTAGTCAGATTGTCTGGTTCTTAGAGCCCACTTCACACCTTCGCAGTTAGCGACTTTGCTGCTGAAATCCCACGAGCACTGTTCCCAGCTTTGGGTCCCGGCTGGGGCCCCCATTCCTGATTGTGGAATTGGTGGACGATCACAGTCTCACGGGGACCACGGAGGGGAATCACCTGCGCTGCTGGGAGCCCGCGACCCTGGCGGCCGGCAGGGGCCCACGTCAGCTCCGTGCGGGGTGAACAGAGGTGCAGGAAACGGGAGGCGGCTGTGACTGGACGTCGGCGTCCTCCGCGACACTGGGCCGCGGGCTCCGGGGCAGTGAGGTCCCGGGCAGGGGCAGCGCAGAGCCGCCTGCCTTCCCCGCATCGGCCGGCGGAGCGTCTGAGCGCCAGCCCGCTGGCACCTGGCCCGCGGATTCGCAGACACAGCAGACGTGCGGTCTCCCCTTTGCTCTTAAAGCCCCATGCTTTCGTGTCTCGTAGAAGCGGGAACTTCTGCCCGAGCCAGGGAGCTCTTCACTTGACCCCTCTGTGAGGTTCATCTCCCCAGGACCCCCATTCCCGTAAAGAAGCGGGGCGGCTGTGGTCTGGTCCCGTGGCCTTCACGGCTGCGCCACGCCCCCCAGTCCCTGTGCGTCAGCACCGCGTGGGTTTCCTTCTGGGAGCACAGCTTTGCAACCCGCCCCTTGAGGGCCCTCTCCCCCGCTGGAGAGCACAGACTTGGGAGCACAGGGACAGGTTTCTTCCCTAGGGCCCTGCAGCCCACCCCGGGCTGCCCCTTGGGCCCCTGCCCCAGACGTGGAGCCCCCACATCATTTAGGAGCTCAGAGAGCACGGCAGCGCCCACTCCCGAGGCCTAGGATGAGGTGTTGGGTGTTCATCTCAACGTCTTGGCGGGATAAGGTTTAAATGTCAACAGGCAAAGATGCCCCGGGTGCCACCCCACAGTCAGGGCCCAACATCGCAACAAAGTCGCTGACGATGAAACTCTGGGTTTGTCCTGGGAAATGAAGTCGAGGATTGTCACCTTGGGCTGGCTTCGTGGTCGCCCTGCTTAGCCGACGGTGGGAAAGGCCAGGTTTTCTCTGAAGGTTCTCGCTCCTTCCAGGCTGCTCTCCTGCCCCCAGACCCCACACTGCTGCCGGGACGATTTCCTCCTGGAGGTTTTCGGTTTCCGTCCACACGGCTGCCACAGTCTTCTGACTCAGCTCAAGTTCCACAGGGCCTGGGGCCCGAGGCAGGGCTGATGGTGTCCCGTCTGCCTCTGTCCCCCCAGGTCCTGTACAACGTGTTCGAATCTTTCGTGACGCTGGGTGGTGACAAGGTGACTGGCGTGGACTGCGCGAAAGGAATAGGTGGGTGACTGGCGGGGCCATGCATCAGGGGAGAGCTGGGGCCGGTCTCTTCTCCAGAACATGGGCCCCTCAGGGCGGTGTCTGTGACGGCCTGGGACCCACAGCCCGGGGAGGAAACGGCGTTTCCACTTCCAAGTCTCGGCCACAGGTCCCTCCCTCCCCCACGTGTTTCACTGGCACGATTTGATCAGGCCCCAGGCACCCTGGCCGGCAAGGGTCATCGCCCCATCAGGCCCAACAGGAGGCCGTGGATCCCGTATCCTGGGGGTCCCGGGCATTTCTCTGGGCAGGGACAGTGACAGTGGGCTGTCCCTGCGGGCCCAGGACCCAGTCCTTGCTGCCAATGCTCTGCACAAGGGCTCCTGGTCGCAGTGCTGCTTCCACGGGGGGGCAGCCAGGCCTCCCTCGGGCGCAGGGCTGTCCCCTCCCCAGCTGTCCCTGTGGAGGTTGGAGCCGACGCCCAGCCTGTCTCTGTCCTCCGAGAGAATCAGCCTCTTGTTCGCTGAGCTGCCGGTGCCTCGGGGGGTCAGCGGGAGACCTCAACAAGGAGCGGTCCGGAGGCCGGCGGCCAGCTCGCCTACGCCGCGGCCACAAAGGGCCATTCAGGGGCCAGCGGCAGCGTCCTTGCCCTTGCAGTGTCCTTCTTCGTGGTGAGCCTGGGGGGCACGCTGGTGGGGGTCGTCTTCGCCTTCCTGCTCTCGCTGGTGACGCGCTTCACCAAGCACGTGCGCATCATCGAGCCCGGCTTCGTGTTCGTCCTCTCCTACCTGTCCTACCTCACGTCAGAGATGCTGTCCCTGTCGGCCATCCTGGCGTGAGTCCTCGCTTGCTGGTGGGCCACAGCCTCGGGGTCCCGGGCCCTGGGGGGCGGGGTGACCGCCCCCACGCGCCAGGCAGACCCGCCCAGGGGAGGAGTGGCCCATCCCCCGCCAGCTCTGCTTGGCCCACTTCCCCACGCTGAGTGGGAGCTCACTGTGGGCGCCAAGAATTTGATCTATTTCGTCCTTCCAGTAAGGAGTTGGTGTTTTCACAGAACTGTCAGGGGCTGCCTCACCTGCTCTGAGCAGAGAAAGGGCCCACACGCAGCCCCTCCCGGCGGCTCTGAGTCTCAGAGCTGGCCCACTTTGGGGTGGGGACAGAAAATGAGGCAGCCCACTCCCCCGCAGCGCAGGGCCCAGGCCTCCAGCGGCCGTAAGCAGCGTCGGGGCGCAGGGGCCCACACGCCCAGTGCAGGGCACCGAGTCCTTAGGAGGAGCCCTGTGCTCACGAAGAGGAGGGCTGACCTGTGGGGCGGACGTTTACCTGCGCCGCAGAGGCCCTGAGGTGCCGCCTGCCCGGAGACGGGCCCTTAGCCCCACGGGGGTCCGGTGGGAGCTGAGCCTCGGCCCGAGACCTCACGGTGGGCCGGCCCGTCCCGCAGCATCACCTTCTGCGGCATCTGCTGTCAGAAGTACGTGAAAGCCAACATCTCGGAGCAGTCCGCCACCACGGTGCGCTACGCCATGAAGATGCTGGCCAGCGGGGCCGAGACCATCATCTTCATGTTCCTGGGCATCTCGGCCGTGGACCCTCTCATCTGGAAGTGGAACACAGCTTTCGTGCTGCTCACACTGGTCTTCATCTCTGTGTACCGGGCCATTGGTGAGGGGGCGGGGGGCATGGGGGGCACTGGAGGGAAGATGGGGATGACGGGGGCATGGGGACCACGGGGATGGTGGCAGGATGAGGGGACACAGTCGGCCAATGGCAGGGATTGGTTGCAGGGAGTCTGTGGAGCCCCGGACATGCTTTTGCCCCCAGCCCCATGAGTGGCAGGTTCAAGAGACCCTGGGGAGCCTCAGGCTGGCCTGGCCACTGGCCCTCCTCAGTGAAGGGGCAGGCCTCCTCACAACCTTGTAGCCTCACAACAGAAATAGGACAACCTAGAGGTCAGAGTGGAAGGTTCCAGCACCCCACGTGGCTTCCCACTGACTCACTCTGGTATGGCCACTCGGGGACAGCATCAGTCACCATGGCACGTGAGAGGCAGGACCCTTGCTGCCCGCACCCAGCTCAGGTCCCTGGTCCCTGGTGTGCAGCGCTGACCCAGGGCCAGGGAGGGGAGGAGACAAGAGGCGGTCCAGGTGGCCCCCACGCGCTCTGCCCACAGTCACTGAACTGCGGGCTCCAGGGAGCAGATGCTCTGCGGGCAGGTGGCATCTGGTCCTGGAGCTGCTGGGCAGTTCCACCCGTGGTCACAGTGAGGCCTGAGAACTTCCAGAGCTGCTGGGAGCAGAGCTGCGGGGTGTGCGGAGGTTGGCTGGTGGCCCAGAGGGCAGGGGCCTGGGTCCAAAGTGGACAAAGGGACTCGCGGGGAGGGGGATGCAGGGTGGAGTTTCCTGGTCCCACGTGCAGAATGCGGCTGCAAGGAGGGCCTCGGCAGGGATGGAAGGGCTGCGTCCCCCTCCCAGAAGTGCTGAGCGCACGCTGGACCCTGCAGGTGTCGTCCTGCAGACCTGGGTTCTGAACCGGTACCGGATGGTGCAGCTGGAGATCATAGACCAGGTGGTCATGTCCTACGGCGGCCTCCGCGGGGCCGTGGCTTATGCCCTGGTGGTCCTTCTGGACGAGAACAAGGTCAAGGAGAAGAACCTGTTCGTCAGCACCACCATCATCGTCATCTTTTTCACTGTCATCTTCCAGGTACTGTGCCCTCCCCTCCCATAGTGGGCGGGACCCACTCTCACAGGCTCTAGGCCCAGCTGGGTTTGATAATTTTAGTAACTAGGAGAAGTTTTGTAGGTTTCCACGTGGCCCCACTGGGGATGCAGCGCAACTTGCCCTAAAAACGTCCTTCCTCGGTCCTTGCTGGTTAACGAAACCCCAGTTAGTATTTCATTGACCAGACATGCCCGGGAAGGGCCCCACTTCGCCTTGCTTTTGGCTAATCTAAGGAGCCGGCCAGGGGCCTCCGAGGGCGTCCGGTGACCCGCAGGTGGCAGGGGCTCCTTCCCGCCGGGAGGTGGGCACGGACCACCTGGAGCCTGGCTAAGGGGCGGCTCCTTCCTGCCCATGCGGGTGTGGGTGGGTGCTGCCTTGGTGGGCCACAGTGGGGCCTGCCCCAGCCTCAGGGTCCGGGTGCCCTGTCTTCTAGGGCCTGACCATCAAGCCCCTGGTGCAGTGGCTGAAGGTGAAGAGAAGTGAACAGCGAGACCCCAAGCTCAACGAGAAGCTGCATGGCCGGGTAGGGGGAGCGGGGAGAGGAGAGGAGAGGAGGGAGGGGGAGGGGGGAGGGAGGGGTCTGTCCAGGTGATGCTGACCCACTTGCCTTTCCTCCCAAAGGCTTTTGACCACATCCTCTCAGCCATCGAGGACATATCAGGGCAAATTGGACACAATTATCTCAGAGATAAGTAAGTGGCTGGAGTGGCCCCGACCCAACTGCAACAGGAAAATTCAGAGGCACGTTTGTCTAGGCTGTTAACTGATGACTCGGGACCCCCAGGCTATAGAAGGAATCTCTGGCATCACCACAACCCTAACCCCACAAAGCCCTAGTGACCTAAGAATACTGCCCTCAAAGGCGCCAGAAGCCACTTGCCCACTTGTCTGGGTCCCCCCCTCCCCCTCCTGCCCCTTCGGCCGCTGGAGCTCCCTCCTCCCCCAAAGCCCACTGCTCCTCCTAGAATCCCTCTCCTTCTTTTCCTGGGAACCCCCTTCCCTCCTTTAGATCCCCTCCTCCCCCTGGGCACCCCTGTCCCCCCATGTCCACTGTGCCCATTCAAGTCTGGCCCAGCCACCTCCTTTTCTGACCCAAATAACCCAAATATTCTATTTGTGTTGGAGTTAAAGCCTCCTTCTGGGCAGGCTAGTTCTCTAAGTGTGAGAGCTCAGGGGGCTTCTCCCAGCCTACCACTGGTGCAGGTAAAATGCACCCCGGGCACTGTAGCCAGAGCCCCGGCCCCGCCCCTGCCGGCCCACCCCGCCCTCCACCCATCTTCCTGGAGGGTTAGGCAGTCACGGGAAAACTGCTTGCAACGTGGCATTAGAGGAGAAGGTGTAATCCCACTTTTACGCACAGCACGCTAATGACCACGCTGCCGTGACAGGAAGGCAGGAGCGACGCACACAGCGGGGAGGCAGGGGTCAGGTGGCAGCACGGAGGCGTTTGCGTCCTTTCTTTCAAAGCTCGCCTGTGTGGTTGTCACAGGAAATGAAAATCAAGGTGTCCCGCCCCAGCAGCCAAACACGGTCCATCCCGAGTCCGGATGGTGGGAGGGGGCCCCTGCTCCCCACAAACGCCACCAGCGCCCCTCTGTCCTGGGGCCTCACCCAGGCCCTGCCGAGCGCTGACAGCTATTGGTTTGGCCCCCCAGGTGGTCCAATTTTGATAGGAAGTTCCTCAGCAAAATCCTTATGAGAAGGTCAGCCCAGAAATCACGAGACCGGATCCTGAATGTTTTCCACGAGCTCAACCTGAAGGACGCCATCAGCTACGTGGCTGAGGTACCAGACGTCTCATCTGCTCGTTTTGTTGCAGTCGGGGTTGAAGCAAGACAGACACACGTGTGGACAGCTGCTGGGGTCCTGCACCCCGAGGTCCCGGGGTGGGGCTGGGGCAGCTGGCGGGCGACGCACGGCCTTCTCGAGGCCTTAGCCGCGAGCTCACCTGAGCTCCCAGGTCCTCAGGCACTCCCGAGGATGGCTCATGTCACAGCCCCCAGTCTGTGGCACTGGTGGGTCTGAGATCGCAAACCCCAATGTGCACAAGCTCCAGGCTCCAGCAGGGGCGAGGCCAGGGGATGGAAGCTACTGGAAGGACTGTCGTCTGCACCTCCGACCCTGGCTGAGAACGTGCAGCGCACGGATCCCGCCCTGTGGCTGCGACGCCTCCGAGGCCTCGCAGCCTGAACGGGGCTGGGAAGGTGGGAGGTGTTCTCCTGGGGGTGTCCCCCTCTGCTGGCCGCACCCTCTCTCCCGGGGACCCTCCGCTGCCCCCAGTCCCCAGGAGGTAACACAGGCTCCCAGCAGGGCGCCAGCCTCCCCTCCACCCGCTGCTGCAACGTCAGTGCCTGTGACCCAGGCCTGTGGGCGCCTCCCTGCTCAGACCAGACGGGGTGGCATGTCCCCCCGGGCTGTGCCTGTGAGCGGCGGCCTCTGGCAGGCCCGCCCGCAGCATCCGCTCTGCCGTGGCCCCCGCCCGGCCACCCTTCCCGGCTCCACCCCCCTCTCCTAGAGCACCCCAGCACACGGCGCCGCACCCCGCTCGGCAGTGTGACTACTGTTGCCCCAGGGCTCTGCTCCGTGTGGTTTTAATCTGATTCTGGAGGCCTGGGGATTCCCTTCTGGGGTAAACGAGGGCAGCTGGTCTGGAGCCCCCAGTGGGGACAGGGCCACCTTCCCAATCCCGGGGGGATTCGTAGTGTCTTCCCGACACTCCCCGAGGTGCACCAAGGCGCCGTGTCCTTCGCACGATCGTCTGCGAGCCGTCCAGCTCCAGCACGGTCCCCACCATGGCTTCCAGGGCCTCGGCTCTCCCGTGGCTGCAAGGTGCCTGGGGGCCAGCGCACAGCACCTCGCGGCAGCTGGGGCCCTCTGGCCGCACCCGGCTCTCTGCAGCCAGGCCGTGGGTGCTGATGAGGCCGCCACCTCCTGCAGGGAGAGCGCCGCGGGTCCCTGGCCTTCATCCGCTCCCCCAGCACGGACAACATGGTCAACGTGGACTTCAGCACCCCACGCCCCTCGACCGTGGAGGCCTCCATCTCCTACCTGCTGTACGTGCCCCAGGGCTGCCACGGGCCAGGCTCTCCCCGGGCCCCCCGACCAAGCCGCAGGCACCAGCAGTGGGCACGCTGGGGCTCCTGGCATGGAGCGGAGGGAGCGTGGGAAGGGGGCCAGGGCCCCCGCACCAGATTCCCCCGTAGTGTCAGTCGGTGCTGGTGGTGGCACTGATGCAGAGGCAGCACGGCAGGGCCGGGCGGCAGATTTAAGGCCGGAGGCCTCACTGGGAGTGCCCCCTCCCCCGCCACGAAAGACAGGGCCACCGGTCCTGGATTTCAGGCCTCCGGCCTCTGCTCCGCCGGGGTGCTTGACTGGGGCTTGCGGCCAGCTCAGGGCTATTCTGGACATCACCCGCCGGCAGCCATGTGCCGGAGAGAAGGTCGGGGCTTTGGAGGGGCGGGTGCACTGCTAGGAGGCCGAGAAGCCCTTGGGGGGACGGCCCCCAGGGTGCGTCGCAGCGTGCGCTCACCGAGGCCCCGCACAGGAGGGAGAACGCCAGCGCGGTGCGCCTGGACATGCAGTCCCTGGAGCAGAGGCGACAGAGCATCCGCGACACGGAGGACATGACCACTCACCACACGCTGCAGCAGTACCTGTACAAGCCCCGGCAGGAGGTGGGCATGCCCGGACCCCTCCCGCCAGAGCCTAGGGGCGGGGCAGCATTCTCCCTGCACCCCCCACCCCCACCCCGCCCCAGACAAGGCGGGTCCTTGCTTGGTGCAAGACGGCTCCAGCAGGCCGGGAGGGGGCAGGGGAGGGTCGGGGCTCAGTCCCCGGGCTCACGTCCGGGGGCAGCCCTGGCCCTGCGGACACCACCAGCTGTGACTGTCCGGCCCCCCTTTTCCCCCAGTACAAACATCTCTACAGTCGACACGAGCTAACTGTGGACGAGGACGAGACGCAGGACAAGGAGATCTTCCGCCGGACCATGCGGAGACGCCTGGAGTCCTTCAAGTCGGCCAAGCTGGGCGTCAGCCCGCACAAGAAGGCCTCGAAGCTGCTCAAGAGGGAGCGCGTCCAGAAGCGGGTGAGGGCGCCATGCTTGGGCTAGCCTCACCGAGGGGGGTGCCCCGGCGGCAGGGCCGGGGGTCTCCCGGGGGGTGGACAGGCGGATCGGGCACGACCCAGAGCTGTGAGCAGTTTCCTTCTGTTTCTCAGAGAAACAGCAGCATTCCCAACGGGAAACTGCCGATGGTGAGCCCCCTGCACGATCTCACCATCAAGGAGAAAGGTACGGCTGGGCCGCGGCAGCAACGCTGTCAGCGGGGACTCAGGAACGCGCGAGGGGCAGGCGGGTGCAGAGCGCTGTCCTTCCAGGGAGACCCTTCCCCTCGGCACGCAGGACCCTCCTGCACAGGCTGCTGCCCTGCTCTTCCCGCTGCAGCCGCTCTGGTGCGCAGTGCCATGGAGCTGGGCTCCGCATCCCCTTCCCCTGTGGCCACGTGGTCCCAGCCCCTCCCTTCCAGCTCGCCCCCGTCCTCAGAAAGGCCAAGTGTGGCTGGGGGGGGGGGCCAGCGGGAACCCCCGGTGTGGTTCTCTATGCCCAGCCCCGTGCTGGTGCGACCCTGAGGGCACCGCCGTCCGTGAGCTGCCCAGAGGCTGCTGGGTGAGGTGGAGGCAACGACAGCACTCGGGCTCGGCAGGCCGGTCCGGAGCGCCGGTCAAGAGCGCGGGACGAGGTCATCTGCGCCTCCTGCCTGTTCCCCTCATGCTGCCCCTTCCCTGCCACCAGATTTGGAACTTTCAGACCCTGAGGAAGCCCCCAGCTATGATGCCGAGGAGGTGAGCAGGGGGATCGAGTTCCTGGCGAACATCACGCAGGACGCAGCGACAGACTCCCCCTCAGGTGAGGGGACGGCCCTCTGCCACCCCAGAAACGATCACTGGTGGGAGGGCCGGGCAGTGGAGCGCTGGGTCCATGTGGCCGCACGGTTGTGGGCAGCAGGCCGAGGCCTCTGCTCTGAAATAAGGGAGAGCGAGAGCCGGTGGCCCCCAAAGGCCCGTGACCCTGACCTTCCAGGTGACCTTCCAGGTTGTGGCTGCCCGCCGGAAGAGCTGGTGTCTGACGCCAGGGCAGCTCCCTCCCTCTCTGCCCTTGGGTGTGCCTGGGGAGCTGATGAGCCGCTGCCCTTTCTCCTAGGAATTGACAACCCCGTGTTCTCCCCGGACGAGGACCCCGGCATCCTCTCTGCGGTGCCACCCTGGCTGTCTCCTGGGGAGACGGTGGTGCCCTCCCAGAGGGCCCGCGTGCAGATCCCCCACTCTCCCAGCAACTTCCACCGCCTGGCACCCTTCCGCCTCAGCGGCAAGTCCGTGGACTCCTTCCTGCTGGCCGACGGCCCCGAGGAGCAGCCCCACGCCCCGCCCAACTCCACACCCATGTAACTGGTCCCTCTAACCCCGCCTCTCTCCTCTGCTCCTCTCGCAGCGCCCGCCTCCTCCCGCCTGGACCTGAGCTTCTGCACACTCTCTCCAGCAGCTGCCTGCCTCCTTCTAAGCCTGTTCTCACAAGCCTCTTGTTCCAGCGCACGTTTCTTAAAAGACCCATCTGACTTCCTGCTTCTCCAACCGAGCGGGGTGGGGGATCACTGCTGTCGAAGGACGTGACTGTTTTAGGCTGTCGGTTAGGAGAACGTGAGCTCAGAGCGGGCGGGGCACAGGGAAGGGGAAGGTGCTTTTCTCCCTGAAGGCCCGCGGCCCTGGAGAGCCCACTGCCTGACAGAAGTGAGTCCAGGAGAGACCCTCACACCGAGGGCAGTGCAGGGGGGCTCCCCGAGGGCCGGCGCCTCTGGGGCAGTCTTCTTCCCGCGGCTTCGCCTCCGGGCCTCGCACCCTCCTCGGGCCTGGGGTGTGGTCCCCGGTCCCGCCTGGGCTGGGGGCGCCGCGCTGCCGCGCGCTCACGCCGGCTTCTCCCGCAGGTGACACCGGCTCCGACGCGCCGCTGACCGGACGCTCGTCCCCGCGCGAGACCCAGCCCGCCGCCGAAAAGACCCCGCGCGTGCGCGCCTCGAGCCCGGCCCCGCCCAGCCCCGCGAACGCCCCGCCCACTGCGCCGCCCGACCCCGATACGGGAGCCGGGCCTGCTCCGGGGACGGGGCCAGAGCGCCGCGGGCTACCTGGCGCGCACGCGCGGTCGGCGGCGGCGCGCCGCGTGCATAGCCGGCGCTCTTTCCAGCGGCCCCGCGCGCGCCGCCGCCCCGCGTTGCTCAAGCTGTCTTCGCTGCAGCCGTCGTGCTACGCGCCGCCGCACGCGCTGGAGCAGGAGGAAACGCCGCTGTGATGGCCACCCACCAGGGGTCTGCACGCACGACCTCGCCCCCGGGGTGTGCCCCACGGCCGCGCCCCCCTGGGGTCTCCGCCCCCCCCCCACGGCCGCGCCCCCATGGGGTCTCCACCCCCCCCATGGCCGTGCCCCTCGGGGGGTCTCCGCCCTCATCACGGCGGCTTTCCCGGGATCTGCACCCATTACCTCGCCCCAGGCGATAACCTCGACCCTCACGACTTCGCCTTCCAGGGGTCTCTACCCCGCCATAGCCGCCCATCCGGGGATCTGCTCCCATGGCCGTGTCGCCTGGGGTCGTGCCCTCCATGGCCTCACTCCCAAGGGGTCTTCCGGTCGCCTGGAGTAGCCCTGGACACTCACCCATCCACTTGGGTGCTGGGGTGGACAGGAGCTGGACTCCCCGGGGACCAGATGTGCAGCAAGGCCTGAACCTCGGCATTGCATAGGGTTCCTGCAGAGAGGCCGCTGCGGGCCAGGAAGTGGGCCGTGAGCCTCCTCCACCTTCTGGGAGGCCTGGGCAGGTGCCCTTGCCGGGAGACTCCATTGTGGGCCCTCTGTCCCGTCCTGGATTTGAACTGAGCCGGCACTTGTGTGTTACTGTTTCCACAGTCACCCCTGACTCAGGGACAGTCTGTGCTTGAGTTCTTGCTACCGGTGTCCATTCTCATCACTGCTGGGGAAACTGAGACCCAAACCAGATGAGATTTGCCCACTGTGATACCCACCCAGGACTCCAGGCCAGGCTGGCCTCTCCCAAAGCCCCCAGGCTTCTCACCTTGGGGCAGCCCTGACTCCAGGGTGGGATGCGGGATATCTTCGTGTCCACTCACCAGGTCTTTGAACCACCTGTCACCTTAGGGACTGTAGGTACAACCGCAGAAACGTTCTCCCTTTGCTCATCCTTTTTGTGCTGAGATTCCCAGAGCCCAGCCCTCGCCCCGCAGACACCCCAGTCTCAGTATGGTGGCTTCTGGGTCTGTAGGCTGATGTGCAGATCTGCTCACCACGTGAGCCGCTCGCTCAGCCGTCACCAGGAGTGACACACGGTTTGCAGTACTTGTCCCCACACTCGCAGCCATTTTGACCCACTCTGTGAGCACAAAAGCCAGCCATTTGTCTGACGCGCAGACCAAGGCACATGCTCCGTCCACTCGCTGCAGGAGTGGTTCACCCAGAGCAGGCTGGCCGGTCCAGACTCCACAGCCCAGCCAGCCCGGCATCTCCAGCTGCCTTAACAACTCCCCTGGACCGCTGGACCCAGATCTGATTCCCGGCTGCAGGGCCAGAGGCTGAGCCGGGAAGAGCAGCTCTGGACGGCCACTCGACACGGTAGACAGTAAGCCTGCAGGTGGCCAACCTCTCCTGGGCTGGCTCCGCAGCCGGTGTTTTCTGGGATTGGGAGGCAGGCCCTCTGTGACTGGCACAAGCTGAGTGCAGCATCGTGGAGTGAAGGTTCCAGGCCGGACATTTCAACCTGAAAGACTGTGTTTGGTCTGTGACACGGTGTTATAAACCCTAGTACTGCGGATACATTTCATAAATGAGAATCCTAGCTGTTCTTGTCATTGTAAAACAGAATGTAAACAGTCTTATGAATGTATTTCCTTAGGAAAACTTGTAAAATTTTTTATTAGGAAAGAATTCTTATTTATTTAATACCGAACTTCGGCCTACTTTGTGGTAGACCAGAAAGTACACAAATTTAGGAGTCACTCTCACCTCTGTAGTTACAGTGCTCGCATACTGTGTACTATTATCGATCTCTATTGTTAAAGGAGATTTAATGGAGAAATTGCACTGAAACTGGAATTGGAATGCATTTTAAGCTATGAGTGGTGAAGACTGTGAATGCTAGTTTTGTGAATGTAGTCTAGTCAAGCAAGCTTTGTGTGACCCGAATCACAATCCACGTGCCTTATCGAAGTCCTGCCCCACGTGCTGTCGGCAGCGTCTGGGCAGCGCCCACCACAGACCCTACGACACCTGCTTGATCAAGTCCATTAAAAATGTTTCAAGGCGTTTGGGAGAAAACTTTGTTCACAAGTGAGAGTTCATATCAAGGAGGCTTTAAGAAGCTGTCTTCGGCAGGCAGACTGTATTCTGGCCCTGAAATTAACGCGTACGCGCCTGTGCGTGCGTGCGTACGTGTGTGCCCGCATGCGCGTTAGGCTCAGGGGTAGTGCACAGGCTGTGGCACGGCCTGGGCCCTGGGAGCCAGTCCCTCCTCAGCAGAGCCTGGACATGCACCACTCTCTGGCTTCTGCGGCAGGGGCAGCCCACCCGGCCAGAGTGGGAGGACCAAGCACCTGTCCCAGGCGTGGGCCTGGGGCTGGAAAGAGGTGGGTGGGGACAGCGGGGTCCAGAGCCTGGGGGGCAAGGAGGCAGCTCTGCAGGCTTGAGAGGAGGCTGGTGGGGGAGGCAGCCAAGTGGGCAGACCCCGTCCCCCAGGTGGAGCCGCCCGGGGCTGTGGGTCATCTCCTGCAGGTCATCCTTGGGGCCTCCCTGCCAGAGACAGCCTTTGATTTTAATAGTTAGAATTTTTAATTTTACTATAAAAAGAAAACAGCAAGTCCAAGTGGAGTCCACAGACACTGTTTCCAAGAGGAGCCTACCCAGTAAATTTACAGCCCTTTCCATGTTGGTGGAAAGCACAGACTCCAGCAAGGAGGGGGCTCTTTCCTGCGGCTCCCCTCGCTCCCTGGGATAAGAAAGTATCACAAAGCAGGTGGCTTCAAACACCACTTACTGCAGGGAATCGGCATCAGGTGAGGGCAGGGCCGCGCCACCTCGGGCCGCTTCAGCCTCTGGTGCTCCTAGGCGGGTAGCAGCTTCACGACAACCCCGTCTCCACGTGGCGTCGCCTCATCGGGACAGCCACGTCTGCTTAGGGGCCCCACCTCCACTCTTCCCACGTTGGCTGCCCACGTTGGCTGCCCACGCAGCTGGAAGCCCCGTGTTGTCCCCCAGCCCCAACTGACTTCCTCGGGAAAGGAAGAAACCCCTGCTTCCGGGCTCCGTCGTGGGGTGTCCTTGTTATGGCAGCGTGGACTGTACGTGGGCAGGTGCAGGGGGACAGCACGCCAGGCAGTGCGACAGACACACAGGGTCAGGCGCCCCTCCCCCCTGCTTTTTGGAAACCCGCTGAGTAAAACTGAGAGTTGGAAACTTCCCGACTTGAAAGACGCTTTTCGACTGAATGGCAGTGTATAGGGAGAACCGCCCCAAGACTCGGTGAGTCTGCCACGGCCTGACAAGGTGAAGCTGCCTTCCGGCGTGGGCCGCAGGCTGTCCGTCCTGGTGCACCCACTTCCCCCGCCAGGCACGTGGCAGCGTGATCAAGAGGCAGGCACTGGCCTTCGGTGTGGGTGCCTGCTAGCCTTTCGCCCAGTGACCTGGAGGTGACCCTCCCCTAGGTGCCGGTGTGGATGCCACCGCCCACCCACCGGGACGTGGCCCTCACCACACCTCCCAGCACATCCTGGCCCCACTGGAACATGCTGGCATCTGGCATTCAGCTTGGGGCCCACCATCGCACAGGTGTCCCCAGCGACCGAAGGCCCTGCCTGCCCCTGTGGTGACCACTGTGTAATCAGGGCAAGGACAGCACAGGGCACTTGGGTCTGCTGTTGGGAAGAGCCACCCCGGGTATTTATTCCAGAAGTAACTCAGAGTGAAAATTCTCTCAGCCAGTGGAAAAATAAATGTAATCTGCATTATCGTAAGGGGCAATGACTAACGATTGTTAACACTCGACTTTATTAATTCAAAAACTGTGTACTGAGCACCGCTACCTACTAGACACTAAGTCTCGTCACACAGGGAACTGATTAACGTGTATTAACAGACAGCACACTGGCAAGAAGCCTCGAGGAAGGTCACGTCTCTTCTGAGCAACACTTGTAAGAACACCCTCATGTCTCCATTTAGGTTTTGATCCTTCAAGAAAAAAGTCCCACCTGTGAATTTTTCACCCCTCGTGAGGAGGAAATAAGAGCACAGCATCCACTCTTCCGTCCTGAAAGCCTGTGAGGAAGGAACTGGGACCCTCAGAGCAGCCCAGCACCGCACACGCCACGTCCTGCACGGGAGGAGGAACGGGGCGAACGCTGGAGCCATCCCCGTGGTTCTCTCGGAGCTCGGCTGCCGAGAAACCTGTCCAGCAGGGCGGCGGCGAGGGTAGGGACCACACGGGGCTCACCGTTTACTCAGGGTGCGACTCTGCAATTCACTTGGTGGAAAAGTAAGATGGATTTGCAGGCGGTGGGGATTCACGCGCCACACCCACCCGGTGGCAGGGAGGAGGGAGGGAGGGAGGGAGCAGTGCGCCCACCAGACCCCAGCGGGCTGGCTCATCACCAGGAAGAGACCCTCACAGCGGGAAGCCCTCACGTCCCATCGGAAGTCCAGACTCGACTGAGCAGCAGTTTCAGAAGTGTGTACACAGCACAGAGGCGAGGGGGAGCTCTCCCGAGACAAGGCCGTCCCCAGACACGCAGCTGACGCCTGGTGGGGGGCCCCGCCGGCTACTTGAGGAGCTTGGCCACGTTCAGGCTAGGAACCACGATATCCTTGAAGATGGGCACGTAGTCTGGACTCGCCTGGGCCGGGCCCTGCTCCAGCGTCTCGATGATGGTCTGCTTCATGTCCCGGCTGGCGTCCCCCCGCACGGCCAGCAGCGCGCCGATGTGCTCGTCCCTGGGGGGGGGGGGAGGGGGCGTCAGGGTGCAGCCGCGGCCACTCAGCCTCCAAAGCCGACTCAAGCCCCCCCGACCCCCGACCGGGCGGCAGGGTGCCTGGAGGTTCACAAAGGCTGGCGGGGAGCTAGCGCCGGGGAGCCGCTCCCCTCGCTTCCTTCCCCCACACGCAGGAGGGGCCCGGCTCCGTTCCCTGGTTCCACCTACACGTGGCACAGGATCAGCCTCCAGAAACCAGTCTGCTCGGCCACCCTCCCATCGGCGCCCGAGCACCAACTGTGGCCTGGTGACGCCCGGGAACCGCGACCCGCGGTGGGGCTGGCGGGCACCGCTGTCATCTCTGAAACCCACTCTGCCCGCATCGCCGTCCGCACGGCATCTGGGGTCCTCACTGGAGCCCGGACCTGCCACACTCACCCGGGAGGCTCCCACCTAATGCCCGGGACCCTCCCTCTCCCCAGCGACCTCAGGAATGTCCCTGCCGCTACCTGATGTCTGGGTATTTGCTGACCAGAGTCGAGACCTCCAGGTAGAGCAGAGAAGGGTCCGTGAGCTTAATGACTTCGGCAACGGCGACGATGGTGTCACAGTGCCCGTCCATCTCCTCACCAAACCCGGCAGCCAGCTTGTGGAAGAGGAAGCGCAGCTGCTCGGCCTCCCGCGCCATGCGCTCGGCGCCCTCCTTGCGCTCCTCGGCGTTCCGGAACGAGATGCGCTTCTGCAGGACGGCCCGCAGGTACTCCTGCACCACGCGCCGGTGCGCCTCGGCGATCATCCGCTACGGGGCACACGGAGAATGGGGTCAGCTGGCACGCGGCCCCAAGGCGAGTCCAGGCCCACAGTGCACGGGCCAGCGCGCTCCTTCCCGTTTCTCATCGATACAAATTTTAGAGTCAACAAAGTAAGCACACCTGAGTCTTTATTACAAATTCTATCTTAGAAAACTGTAGCAGGTTCACCGTGTTTCACGTCTGGGACGCGGGCAGACGCACCGGCCACACGGCAGCAGCCGGAAGTCGGTACTGCCTGGACACCTCGGATGCTCACGTCCATTCTAGAGAGCCCACAGAATAAAGTACGCCGCGGGGACGCCTGCCTGCAGCTCCGCCAGACACGTCGTTCTGGGCGCGGACCCGCTGCAGAGCAGCTTCCCATCGGGGGTGAAGGGGCAGGTGCCAGGGCGGCACCCGCTTTACTGAGACCCGTCTGGTGACTCACGGGCGCCCCCTGGGGGATCCGGGTCTATTTTCCTCGCCCTGCCCATCCTGCACGCGTCTCTCAGCTTCTCAGCCCAGGAGTGTGGGGTGTGGGTTCAGTGGGAGGGCTGGGGACCCTGGGCCAGGCCCTGCTCTGCCCCTCACAGGCTGAAGGGCTCCACACACACCACACCTCGTGCACAGAGGCTAGTCAACGACCAGCCTCTGGGGGTGGTGTGACGAGCTTCTGGGAAAAGAGAAGCCCCAAGTCCACACATTTGGGGAAGTTTTGGAGAAGGCCGTGGTTTTCTCCGGAGCCCACCCACAGGTAGACGGACATCTAGCCGTCACCCACGAACACGCGAGCACGACTCTGCTGACACAAGGCGCAGCCTCAGAGTCCCAAGAACAGACATCAGAAGCTCCGTGTACCAGGGAGGCCGGGCAGTGAGGGGGACCCCAAGGGCCCCAAACAAGACAAAGCGAGACAACACCCGGTAGCTGCAGGGACTCAGGCGGAGGCCAGGCTCTTGGCAGAGCAAGTGAGACCGCGGGCTCCCGGCCGCTCCAGGAGGCGAGCCATCTGGACCAGGAGTGGCTGAGACACAAGCCCCAAGGACTTCACACACCCGGTTAGATCAAAGGACAGATGCTGAGAAACATAAAAGGTGGAACCAAAAACTACAAAAACCAAGAAATTCAAAATTGAACAGAGCTGGTCCCACCGACCTCTAACCACCAGAGGCTCCTGACAGCTGTGAAGCGACCAACCAGGTGGATTTAAAACACCTGGGTCTCCCTGCAAGCATCACTTTTAATGGCAGCGTTAGGAGAATTTAAGCTTACGAATGAGACAAAGATGCCCCTGTGCTGGGGGGTCCCAGCCAGGGCAGCGAGACAAGGAGAAGACATGAAGGTACAAGAACCAGAAATGAAATGACACAGTGACGCTGCTCACAAATGAGACAAGCGTCTACAGGGATGCCCAGAGGACCTGGAGACACGTCCTGAAGTGTCCGCACCCAAGCTCTGTGTGTCAAACCACTCACGCTTCCATAAACCACAAACAGAAAGGCTGATTTTAAAGCAAAACCCACCCAAGGCCCTGAGAATTCCCCCGCGGAAAGCTGCCTGAGCCCCAGACGGGAACAGGGGCATTTCACGGGACCTGGAGGGGACCCCGACGGCCGGGGACCCTGGAGTCTCCTGTGGGCCCTGTGCTGAGAGCCGCCCACTGGCCCCCAAGTGTGGACGTGAAGGGGGAACTGAGGTTCCTGCCCAGCCTCTCATCAGAGCCATGGCCACAGCCCCACCCGCCCTTTGAGGGGTCCCTGCTGAGGAAGTCCCCACTACCCATGGGGTTCTGGGTCTGCGGCCGTGTCAGCGTGGCCTTGGACAGCAAGGTGCATGCCCCACCTCTGCCACCTTCAGACGGCAACGTCTCCGACCTGCCTGGGTTCACAAAACCACCCGTGAACTTCCACCCAAGAACTGATGACACCAAATTCTACACAAGATGCCAGGGGACTCAGGCCACATGTGTGCCCCACACTCTTACCTTTCTATATGGCTTTTTAATTTTGGCAAAATCATTAAAATAGTCTTCCACGGTGACACAGATGATGTCTACAGCATTTGATCCTAACAGCCACTTCTTTGTCATCAGCTCATTGAGATGTTGCTGAAAGCACAGACCACAGAAAACACCCTCATGACGGCCTGTCATCGGGAGAGGCACTTGGAGCCTCCTTCCTACGCCCGCCTGACGTTCAGCGATGCTCACGCAGAAACTCTGCAAACATGTACTTTAACCGTAGACTTGTATGAGACGCAAGGGTGGTATCTGTGCGGACATGTCTTCCCTTATTGACTACACCTATTTGTTGTGTGGATGCTCTGTAATTTGTGTACCCAATTCTGATGAACACTTAAAATGTCTCATTTTGCAATTATAAAGAATGCTGCAGTGAATCTGTATATTTTTGCAGATGAAATTCCTAAAACTAAAAGTTATTAGTCAGAAAGTATGCAAACTACAACCTTGACGACTGTTGCCCTCCAAAACTCGTGCCAACTGCCCTCCCATAACTGTGCCGATTCACGGTTCTACACGGAACACAGGAGTCTCGTGCCCTCGACATCACGTGGTAGCAATGTTCTTAATCCCTACCGTCCTGGTAAGCAACAAAAATATTCGGGTTTAATTTGCTTTTCTTTGAAGAGCAGTTAAGACTGGGCACTCTGTTTCCTACTTAGGACACATGACTCCTTGTTCGGGGAAACAGTTATTCATGTCCCTCGTCTATCTCTCTATTATGTTGTCTTTTTAAGTGCACTTTGTTTTCTAAACCATTTCTGAGAAAGTTACAGCTGTCATGAAATGATACCACCCATCACCCCAGGAGCTCCTTCCCTGCAGGACCCAAGATGACCATGATTCTATTTGTTAAATGCACTCTGGTTTCTGCCGGTTCTATATGATGCTGAGCCATTTTCATACCTTCTGAAGTAAACTTACTTGCTCAACACGCACCACGCCTTGGCTGTGACCTGCATGCACTTTGTTTATGGCTGTGCTCTGTGCCTTTGCTCAAAGCCGAGCCCGGCTGTGTGACGGGCGTGCAGCCCAGCTCGTGCCCTCAAGCAACAATCTGCTGATGGCCATAACCAATCTCCTCTCCAATACCAGCTTCTACCCTGTGACCTGCTGAGTGCTCTGGTCTCTAACGCTTCCTGCAAGGGGCTCTCCTTGACGCCACACCAGGGGAGCCGGCCCGTGGCGCCCACCTCCAGGTCCAGGAAGACTTCCTCAAGCAGGCTGCTGCAGCCCTCCTCAGCGATGGCGTCCAGAAGCCCATCCATGCTCGGCTGGCTCAGAGACACGCTTTCGTCCGCGTCATGCTGCAGATACTTTCTTTTCAAACTGACTATGGATTCTCTGCGAGGAGACAGAGGAGGAGACAGAGGGCCGGTGAGGCCGCCGAGCGCCCCGCCCCCCAGCCGCAGCCGAGCGCCCCCGCCCCGCGGCCGCAGGGCCCCCGCTCACCTGAGGGTCCAGCAGTTGTTGATGAGCGCGATCATGTACTGCACGTAGCAGTGCGGGTGCTGCCGCTTCCGCAGGTGCTCCTCCTTGTACAGCTGCGCCTCCTCTTTGTACCTGGGGGACACACGGCCACGTCAGAGCAGCCTCGCAGCACGGCGCCAACGCGCAGCCTAACAATCACATTCTGCATTGCTAGCATCTGGCCAGACGAGTCTTCAAAAATAAAGGATTCTAGAGGGGGTGACCTATGCTAATAGAAGTTGATCATCTAAAAAAGATTATTAAAAATTAATTTCGTTATCAGGCTTTGAAATATGGCTCAGTGTTCTGATTTTACAAATATTCTGAAACATTTGTAATTGGGAGAGTATTATTTCGTCTGACGTATGATTCAGCTAGAAACTCATACAATAGTGTTTGGGACACAATCAAATGTTAGATAAAATGTCCTTTTCTGAGACTTTCCCTGAAAAAATCAAACTAAAAATAAATTAGACTCTTTAAGATGTCAAGAAAACAACTGAGACGGCTACATGCTTCATTTTTGAATTTATCATGGAGATTCTCAAACATATATGGGAGTACAAGAAAAGCACAACACACCGTATAAATTTGTACGCGTTTTCAATAGATGTGAAGGAAGGAGCAAACTGAAAACTGGCAATTAAAGGGAAGTAATCAAGCATTCATTCCACCCTTCTGTCCAAAGCATGATTCAGGTAACCACACAGCTGAGGCTGCTGAGGAAAACATCTGCTTTACAGAACAATACCAACGGGATGACTAACTCAGGCCATGACCCATGGGTGACAGCTGACGGGGATCCTAAGCAGAGGCCCGGCTGTCGGCACCCGAGCCACAGGAGCAGGCTATGGGCAAACAGTAAGGAAACACGGAGGAGCCCCACGGCCTTCAGAGCCAACCTGTGGTTCGTGGGCAGACGGCAGCTTGAGGCCAGGCTGGAGGACACTGGACAGGAGGGTCTGTGCATCTCCACAAGCCAGCGGCTCAGAGCGGGAGGGGCTGCCCTCCGGCACCACAGAGTGGTTGGCCTTCTGCCAACCCGGTCTGAACACACAGCTATAAACAGGTGGGTCTGAGACCAGCGGGAAAACCCAAACACAAACCTGGTGTCAGGCGGCCCCACGGAACGCTCCTGACAGATCGGTGGGTTGATGGCACTGCAGTTAGGGTAGGGAATGCAGGGGATGAAACGCCGCAGCGTCCGGGATTTGCTGTAAAGCACAGCTGATCCCTGAACAACGTGGGTTTCAAGTGTGCAGGTTCACTTACACGTGAACCTTTTCAGCCAACACGCACCGCAGCACTGCACGAGCTGAGGCTGGCTGATCTGGGGGTGCGCGACCACGGCAGGAGCGCCGACTGCAAGCTCACGTGTGGATTTTCAGCCGCACCGGGGGCTGTCCCCTCCAGCCCCCATGTTGTTCAAGGGTCAAGTGTACCTCAGCAGAGCGAGGGGGAGGAGAGCCGGATGCGGCAAGGGCGGCTTTACAGGCAGCTTTTGAACCCGGATGGTGGGCTAAGCAGGTGTTTAGGCCATTCTTCCTACCTCCGTATACATTTGAAAATCTTTGTGTACAACTTGGTGGGGGGGGCATCCCTGTGGAGGGCACCCCGGGGAATTGGGACAACAGGAAGGCTGACTGAAGGAGGTCCCCAGCTCCAAGCCTGCAGTAGCACCAGCCCACTGCTGAGAACCCCACACCATCACACCCGGGACCCCGGGGGAATGCAACCCATTCAAAAGGCAGATAACGAGAAAGGGCTTGAGTTCTGACTAAGGGGAAAAGGTGACTACAGTGAATCCAGGCTTGAATTCTTTTTTAATACTGGCCAGGTTGGGATCAACACAGTTTTCCTCTCCATTAAAAAAAAAAAAACCTACTAAATTAGCACACTGGCAAGAATACATACCTACTTAAAAAAGAATTCATTTGCTGAAGACACAAAACGAGTACCTTTGTTTTCAAATCTTCACTTATCTGAGCAGCGACTTGAAGGTTCTGTTCAAACATCTAAAAATTGGAGAACTTATGAATTCTGATAGAAACTCACGAGGGTGCAGATTTCCCATTATATAAACCCCCCACCTGTTAACTGGTAGTCAGGACAGTCCAAATTCAGAGGAAAAAATGACGCCAGGTGAAAAATAACAAAGTTACTTAAACAAACACACAAAACTTTCTTACCAGGTAAAAAAAAAAAAACCCAGGGAATCATTTCCTAATTCCCTGCAAACAGGCTGGTCTCCACAAGGGGGACACATATGTTCTCATGGGGAGACAGGGAAACGAGGGGTCCGGGGAGGGCGGGTGTGGCTGGGGTCACACGGGTACCAGGGGCTGGGCTGTGGTTTGCGATGTGGGTTTCTTAAGAAGCGCTACGAGGACACACGCTGGAGCTGGGGGGCCGGACGTGGGAAGGTGGAGAAGCACCAGAAGGCAGAGCTCACCCCACGTGGTCACCGGACGTCAGCTTCCAAAATAAAGGAAAGGTGAAGTCCAACACGTCATGGACTAGTGGGATCACCCAGAGCCTGGCTAGAGCCCCAGCTCCGTGTCAGCAGAAGGAGAGCCCTCGAACACGGCTCGGCCCTCCTACCATCAGCAATGTTTCTCAAAGGAAGGGGACTGGACAGGCCATACAGAGAGAGCAGGCTACCTGTAAGAACGCACGATGACGCTAAAACCCTAAAAGACTCCTCCCAAAGTACGTCAGATTAGACTCGATCGTGTAGCATTTACGAAGACAAACCTTGGCCATTACATCAGGAAATAAGCAAATTCAAATTTGAGCATCAGACACACATAACACATAATTAGCTTCTGGTTTGAGATCAAAAACCATTAGGAGGGCTTCCCTGGTGGCACAGTGGTTGAGAGTCTGCCTGCCAATGCAGGGGACACGGGTTCGAGCCCTGGTCCGGGAAGATCCCACGTACTGTGGAGCAACTGGGCCCGTGAGCCACAACTACTGAGCCTGTGTGTCTGGAGCCTGTGCTCCTCAACAAGAGAGGCCACGATAGTGAGAGGCCCGCGCACCGCGATGAAGAGTGGCCCGTGCTTGCCGCAACTAGAGAAAGCCCTCGCACAGAAACGAAGACCCAACACAGCCAAAGATAAAAAAAAAAAAAAAAAAAGAACCATCAGGAGAACAAAAACCATTAGGTTTTGCGGCCGTGGGTGAAGCTACTTGGCAAGTCTGAGCCTCGGCTGCGCAGCTTCAGAGAGAAGCAGGTTCTCTCCGCCGGCAGCAACTGCGTGCATCTGGGAAGCCTGAGGCCCGGTACCTGGAAGACGATGGCGGGCAGTGTCGTCTGGTAGTAGCCGTCCTGGTCGGCCTCAGGTTCAGTCTCTTTCACCCAGTCCTTCCTGTCTGTTTCCAGGGCTTTCCGCAGCCAGGCAATGATGTTTGACTAAGCAGGAGCAAAGAACAGAACCAGGCTTGGAGTCAACAGGCCGCTCTTCAGTGGAGCAGCTGCAGAAGCCAACACCACCCCCTGGGGATCCCAGGCCCCACACAAGGGAACAATCCACCTCCACGCGCGGGACCCCGCCAGCCTCCCTCAGCTTAACCTTCTGGACGACGGTCATGCTGGAGGACAGGCCAGGTCAGTCAGGACAGGGAAGCACGAGACCTACGTGCCTCTGGCAGGCCATTCACGGAGACCAGACCCCACGGCCGCTACCCCAGCCGCCCCTGCGTCCCAGCACGGCCTTGGCGCCTCTGTCAGAGGCTGCCTGGTGTCAGGCTCCCCACGTCCCAGGAGCAGACCTGACCACCTCATCGCACCCTCGGACCCCCGAGGGCACTGGGCGGTACCCCACCCCCACCCCCGCCGCCTGCCGCCCTCCCACTCCCAGGCTCAGTGCTGTGAGGCGGGCAGGCGCCACGGCACATCCAGGACGCCTCCAGACCCGACTTCTCAGAAAGAGCCACGCGTCCTCTGGAAGCCCGACGGCCAGATGGGTCCTGGCTGCAGCCCGACTCGGCCCATGTGGGCCCACATCCCTCCACTCACTGTCAGAGTCGACATGTAGGTGTCGAGCAGCTCGGCGACCACGTCTGGAGAAAGCAGGGGCTCCAGGACCCCGACGTCCACGTCCGGGGCCAGCTCTGCGTTCCCCATCATCTCTGCACTGCGGGCACAGGAGGGAAGGGAAACAGGAAGCCCTCAGGTGGGTGGTGCAGTTCCCCGTCCCAGGGGCCTGCAGGGCAAGGTTTGCTGGCTCCACCCACGGTGCCCTGAGGAAGACCAGGGCCTGGCAGGTAGGAGGTCCCATGAGTTGGAGAACAGACAAGCACTGAATTTAGAAACGTAGGGCACAGCCGCTAATGCCGCTGGTCCAGCAGGACGAGGACCAGAGCGGAGAACACCTGACACCCGCAACCAAACGCGACTCAGCAAGTGAAGTGTCAGCACTTCCAGCCTATGGGGCTGAAGAAGGGAGGGATGTGAACCAAGCTTCAGAAAACAGTTTTCATAAAAAACAGATAAAAGCCAGGTATGCGGCTGGGTTCCTAACTGTCCGAGGCTGATTGCTCGGATGACCCCTAAGTGTGGATCCAGAATGACAATCCTGAGTACTAACAGCTTGTCCTCCACTCCTAAGACATCCAAGGTCTTCCTGAGTGAAAAAGCACTTCATGAGATTCTGCAAATACTAAGAGACCATCTACAACTTAGATCATTTCTGCCCCAAGAACCTTAACTCCGCGTGAAAATGTTTCTAGCGTGAAAGCGGTCCAACTTTTCCCATGAGAAACTCCAATACGAAAGGATGTGGTCACCAACAAGAAGCCGTCGAGAACTGCCAAGGACAGAAAAACGCTCACAGCGTGGCGGCTGGAACCACGCGGGCCACACAAGTGCGCACCCCGAGGTCTGGCGGCCGGAGCGCGGCGAGGGCCCCGACCCCAGTTCAAGTCGCACCGCCCCCCCCGCAAGGGCCGTGTGACCCTGGGCGTGTTCCTCCCTGTGCCTCAAAACGAAGATGATGGTGAGAGGTCTTCCTCGAGGGTGGCCTGACGACAGGATCACGCGACGGCAGTGGAGGGCGGCACACAGGAGGCGCCGAAGCCCAGGCCCAGCACGGGGAAGCAGAGACAGCGCCAGCCACGATGAATACGATGTTTTCTTTCCCTTTATATGTTTCCGTGTTGAAATGTACATATTCTCTACCACAAGCAGCTACCAAAAAACAAACAAACACAGACCCCAAAAATCCCCAAATCTTACTGCAAAAACGAGAGGTTTCATTAATTCTACACACTAGCACAAGACAGGCTAGAATAAGACGTGCCTTCCTCTCGCTAGCGAACCCTAGGAGTTTCAGAATGCCCCACCACTGGCTTGTTTTTCAAACCCTACCTCAGAGTAACGCCCGTGCAAAGGGGCTCACAGTCCTTTCAGGAAGCGACAGAGCGTCAAGGCTGAAGTGCCGAAGGGCAGCCGACAAGAAACCAGACTCGGGGGGGGCGGAAGCCGGCAGGGGCAAGCTGCCGTCTCCTCAGCAGCACGAGACTCGGGGCCTCCTGGGTCCACGTGTCCTCACCTGTCCAACAGGTGACACCACCTGCTCTCAGTGTCACCGCGAGAAGGCGGCTCAGGAGTGCAGGAAACGCAAGGCCGAACTGCTCACTACGGACGGACCGGCCAGGGCACAGGCTCCACCCAAATGCAAGAGCGTGCACACGACCAGGGGCCCGACCTCGGGTCACAGGTGGACCAAAAGGGGACGCGTCAGCCGGAAGGCAACGCCCTGAGCAAGAGGACTCGGCGGCCGTTTAGAACGGCTAGTACGCTTCGCCCCCAGGAAACAGGGAACGCCAGGTACACAGGTGGAGTTACCTGGTGTAAGTGTTTAGGACCCAGGTCAGCAGGCTCACGATCTCGTTTGCTTCCAGGTCCTCTGCTGCGAGCTCCTGCATCCGCGTGCTTAGAGCCTGGTGGTACACGTTCAGGAGGCTCCTGAAAATCTGGTAGCGAGGAGGAAAGCACTGCACCATCAGGCTCCGGGCGACGAGGAGGTCGTCCAGGACACACTTCCTTATGATCTCCAGGTGGCGCACGAGCCACATCCTGTCAGACTCCCTGGTGTCCGCCTGCGTGCCCTCGATCCTCGTGGTCACGGTTCTGTCCAGGACGGCGAACATCTTCTCCTTCCAGTTCTTGGGCCTTCCAGGAGGAACGAAGCCAGTTTGCTTCTTTCGGTCAAGTATGCGCCTGTCAATCTTTTCTTCCCTTTCGATGATCCTGACCACGGAGACCAGCAAGGTGGGGTCGCGGCGCACGGTGACCAGGGACCGCTGCAGCACCATCCACAGCTGCTTGGCCAGCTCGTCGGACAGCGCCTGCGTGCTCCCAAAGTAGCTGTGGATGAGGCTCATGTCACGCGCGTTCCCGCTGTCCATGCGGTACTGCTCGTACATCAGCCCGTCGCGGGAGCACTCCAGGTCCATCAGCTTCCGGTGGGCCTGCAGCAGCGCCCCTTGCTCTATGAGGTCCTGGGTCTCCCTCACGATCTCGGGCACTGCGGGAAAGGCACAAGATGGTACCGTGAAAAACCACACGAAGGGCCATACGGGACTCTGGGCAGATGGGGACAAGGGTGACCAGCAACCTGTCTCCCACCTGGACAGCTGCTGCACTGACAGACTCCATCCGAGTACCTGTTTTGGAACTCTGGAGTCTACTGAAGGCATACAACTTCCAGGGAAAGGTGTGAAAGTAAGGTGTGGTTAATACTGGTGCATTTCAGCTCTCAGCACCAGTAGAAAAGTAGAAACTGACTGCAAATGACCAGGAGAGGCGCAGGCTCAGAAAGACCTGAGAAGACCTTGAGTTTACATGTCAGCCTGACCCTCTGCACAGACACAGCCTACGACAATCAAAACAACAAAAACAATAAACAGAATCAGCATACCCTGGCAAAGAGGAAAACCTGATTTCCAGAGTCACATGTTATTAGATTCGAACGTCCAACGTTCGACAACAACATCACAAGGCATACAAAGATACAGGAGAGAACGGAGATTCAAGGAAAAAATAAACCAACAGAAATCATCCCCGAGAAGGACCAGACAGATGCTGGACTAGACAAGCCTCTGAAGCAAACTCTTCAACACGCTCAAAGAACTAGAAAGTATACGAACTGGATGGAAAATGTACTTCAAATTTTCAAAGCAGATTTGATCAAGCAGAAGAAGGCAACGGCAAACCTGAAGACAGGAAGGAAGTTATCAAGCGTGAGGATAAGAGGAAAACAACTAGAGAGGAGTGAACAGAGCCTAAGGGGTCTGTGCGGTGCACACTGTGGGAGACCCAGAGGAAGAAAGAAAGATGGGCAGAGCGACTACGGGCACGCTGCGCTTTACCGTGCTTCACAGATGCCGCACGTTTTACAAACCGAAGGTCTGTGGCAACCCTGCATCAAGCAAGTCCATCAGCACCATTTTTCCAACATCATTTGCTCACTTCGTGTCTCTGTGTCACGTTCTAGTTATTCTTTCAATATTTCAAACTTTTCACTATGATTGTAAGTGTTACGGTGATCCGTGATCAGTCACCTTTGATGTTACTACTGTAATTGTTTTGGGGCACCGAGACTCGTGCCCGTATAACATGGCAAACGTAACTGACAAATGTGGTGTGTGTTCTCACTGCTCCCCGTGCTCTCGCCCTCTCCTCAGGCCTCCCTATTCCGAGACACAGGAATACTGAAATTGGGCCGATTAATAACCCTACAATGGCTTCTAAGTGGTCAAGTGAAAGGAAGAGTCGCACATCTCTCACTTTAAATCAAAAGCTAGAAATGATTAAGCGGAGTGAGGAAGGCCTGTCGAAAGCCGAGATAAGCTGAAAGCTGGGCCTCTTGTGCCAAACAGTTAGCCAAGCTCTGAAGGCAAAGGACAGTTCTGGAAGGAAATTAAAAGTGGTACTTCAGGGAACACACGAATGGTAGGAAAGCAATACAGCCTTACTGCTGATATGGAGAAAGTTTTAGTGACTGGACAGATCAAACCAGCCACAACATTCCCTTAATCAAAGCCTAATCCAGAGCAAGTCCCATTTCTCTGAAGGCTGAGACAGGTGAGGAAACTAGAGATCTAAAGTCAGAAGCCAGCAGAGTCTGGCTCATGAGGTTGAAGGAAAGAAGCCGTCTCGATAACACAGAAGCCCAAGGTGAAGCTGCAAGTGCCGGTGTAGGAGCTGCAGCAAGTTCTCCAGAAGATCCAGCTGCCATAACTCATGAAGGTGGCTGCACGAAACGACAGGTTTTCAATGCAGACAAAACAGCCTTCTATTGAAAGAAGGTACCATCTAGGACTTTCACAGCTAGAGAGAAGTCAGCGCCTGGCTTCAAAGCTTCAGAGGACAGGCTGACTCTCTTGTTAGGGGCTAATGCAGGTGGTGCCCCTAAGGTGAAACCAATCTTCATTTATCATTCCAAAAATCCTGGGACCCTTACGAATTATATTAAATCTATTCCACCTGTGCTCTATAAATGAACAGCAAAGGCTGGATGACAGCACGTGTCTTTACAACATCATCTGCTGAATATTTTAAGCCCACTGTTGAGACCTACTGCTAAGAAAAAAAAGAAAAGATGTCTTTCAAAACATTACTGCTCATTGATAATGCACGTGGCCACTCGAGCTCTGACAGAGGTGTGCAACAACATCCTTGTTGTTTTCACGTCTGCTAACACAACATCTACTCTGCAGCCCACGGATAGAGGAATAACATCGACTTGCAAATCTTATTATTTCAGAAATACATTTCGAAAGGCTACAGCTGCCATAGATAGTGATTCCTCTCATAGATCAGGGCAGAGTCAATTGAAGACCTGGAAAGGATTTACCGTTCTGGAGGCCATTAAGAACACTCATGATTCATGAGAAGAGGTCCAAATACCAACATTAACAGGAGTTTGGAAGAAGCTGATTCCGACCCTCGTGGATGACTTTGAGGGGTTCACGACTTCAGTGGAGGAAGTAATGGCAGATGTGGTGGAAACAGCAAGAGAACCAGAATTAGAAGTGGAGCCTGAAGATGTGACTGAACTGCTGTGATCTCACGATAAAACTTTAACACATGCAGAGTTGCTTCTTACGGATGAACAAAGAAAGTTCTTAAGATAGAAACTACTCCTGAAGTTTAAAGATGCTGTGAAAATTGTTGAAATAACAAAGGATTTAGAATATTACATAAACTTAGTTGACAAAGCAGCAGCAGGGTTTAAGAGGATTGACTCCAATTTTAGAAGAAGTTCTCCTGTGGTAAAATGCTATCAAACAACATTGCTGCTACAGAGAAATCATTCCTGAAAGGAAGAGTCAGTCAACACAGCCAGCGTCACTGCTGTCTTATTTAAGAAACGGCCGCAGCCACTCCAGCCTTCAGCAACCACTGCCCCGATCAGTCAGCAGCCAGCAACGCTAAGGCAAGACCCTCCACCAGCAAGAAGATTAGCACTCGCCGAAGGTCTGGATGACAGTCAGCATTTCTCAGCAATAAAGTATTTTTTATTTTAGGTATGTACATTGTTTTTTTAGACATACTCGTATCGCACACTTAATAAACTACAACACAATGTAAACATAACTTATATTCAGTGGGAAACCAAAAAATTCGCATGACTCGCTTTGCTGAGATAATTTGCTTAACTGAGGTAGTCTAAAAACGAACCTGCATTATCTCCAAGGTGTGCCTGTATTTTAAATAATGGTCAAAGACTTACTAAATTTGATGAAAGACATAAATATAAACATTCAAGAACTCAACAAACTCCAAACAGAAAAAACTCAAAGAGACCCAACACCAAGACACATTGTAATCAAACCATAGAAAGCCAAACACAGAGAGAGAAATCTTGAAAGCTGCAAGGGAGAAGCAGCTGATCACATACAAGGGATCCTCAGTGGAGTATCAGCAGATTTCTCTTCAGAGACTTTGAAGGACAAAAAGCAGCCTGCTGGTAATATTCAAAGTGCTAAAAGGAAAAAAACCTGTAACTCAAGAATCCTATATTTGGTAAAACTGTCCCCCAAAAGTGAAGGAGAAATTAAGACATTCCCAAACAATAGCTGAAGGAGTTTGTGACCACTGGACCTACGCTGTGAGAAATGCTAAAGAAGTTCTGCAGGTGAAATGACACCGGACAGCAACTTGAAGCTGTGGGAAGAAATGAAGGTCTCAGTAAAGGTAAATACATGGGCAACTGTAAAGCCAGTATTACTGTAACTTTGCTTTGTAACTCTTTTTGTTTTACATAATTCAAGAGACTAATACATTTAGAGAAAAAAAAATTAGTCCAAAGCTAGTACTAATAGAAAGCTAGAACAGCTGTAACTCTGGTTTATAATTCCACATTTTACTTTCTACATAATTTGAAAGACGAACGCATTTTTTTTTAAATAGCAACTAGTCTATGTTTTTGGATACACAATATATAAAGGTGTAGTTTTGTGACATCAATAACTGAAAGGAGATGGGAAGTGTTGTATAGGAGCAGAGTTTCTGTATATTATTGAAGTTACGCTGGTATAAATTCAAATTAGCGTTATAACTTTAGGATGGTAAATGTAATCCCCATGGGAACAAAAAACGATAATAGCTATAGAATATACAAAAAAAAAGGATTGAGAAAGGAATTAAAACACTTTACTACAAAAAAAAATCAACTAAACAAAAGACTATAATGCAGAAAATGACAAAATAAGGGCATACAGAAAACAGTTGGGAAATGACAGAATTAAGTCCCTCCTTACCAGTAATTACTTCAAATGTAAGTGGATTAAACTCTCCAATCAAAAGACAGAGACTGGCAGAATGGATAAAAACACATGATCCAACTTTACGCTGCCTACAAAAGACTCACTTGAGATCCAAAGACACAAATAGATTGAAAGTGAAAGGATGGGAAAAGTTATTCCATGCAAACAGTAACCAAAAGAGAGCGGGGGTGGCCGTACTAACATCAGACAAAACAGATTCAAAGTCAAAAAAGGCTGTAAGAAACAAAGAAGGAATTTTATATTAATAAGACGTTCAATCCAGTAAGAATATACAAGTATAAACATTTACACACCTAATGACCATTAAAATATACGAAACAAAAATTGACAGAACTGGAAAAACAGACCGTTCTACAATGATGGCTGGAGAATTCAATATGCCGCTCACAATAATGAACACGATCAGACGCAAGATCAGTAGGGAAATGGGACTTGAACCTCACGACAAACTAACTAGATCTTACAGACGTATACAGAACACTTCACCCGACCCAACAGCACACACAGTCAGTCCTCTTAAGTGCACATGGGACATTTTCTAGGGCAGACCATACCCTTAGGCATGAATTAAATTAAATCATTAGGAATGAATTCATTTAAACCATGAATTAAATCTCAATAGATTTTAAAAGATAAATGTCATACAAAATATCTTCTCTGACTACAAATGGATGAAGTTAAATATCTGTGATTGACAAAAAACTCACAAATTTGTGGAAATTAAGCAGCACACTCTTAATCAATGGGCCAAAGAAGAAATTACAAGGGAAATTAGAAAATACTTAGAGACAAATGAAAATGAAAACACAACATACCAGAACTTACAGTGCTAAGGGCGAAGTACAGCTATAAACACTTCAGTTAAAAGAGAACGATTTCACGTCAACAACCTAGCTTTACAACTTAAGGAACTAGAAAAAGAATCAACTAAACCCTCAACTACAATGGAAAAGAATATGAAAAAGAATATACCTACATATATGTGTATAACTAAACCACTTTGCTGTATACCAGAAACTAATACAACATAAGTCAACTATACTAATTTTTTTAAAAAAAGTTCTTAGGAAAAAAAAAAAGCTAAACCCAAAGCTACCAAAAGGAAGGCAATAATCAAGATTAGAGCAGGGATAAACAGAGAATCGAAAAACACAACAGAAAATCAACAAAACCAAACGCGGTTCTTTCAAAAGATTAACGATCGACAAATCTTACCTAGATGAACTAAGAAAATAAGAAGACTCAAAAACTAAAATCAGAAATAAAAGTGAGGACGTTACTACCAATTCTACAGAAATAAAAGGGATTATAAGAGTACTATGAACAACTGTACACCAGCAAACTGGATAACCCAGATGAAGTGCAGATTCCTAGAAACACAAAACCTAAACCACAAAGAAACAGAAAATCTAAATAGACCTATAAACTAGTAAGGGACTTGGGGGAGGGGGCATGGGGAACTATTATATAACGGCTGCAGATTTTTTTTCTTTCAGTTTTATTGAGATAGAATTGACACTGCACTATATAATAAAGTTTCAATTTGCAAGGTGAAGAGTTCTAGAGATGGATAGTGATGGTTTCACAACGATACGAAAGCACTTCATACTACAGAACTGTGCAATTGAAAATGGTCAAGATGGTAAATCTTATATTATGCATATTTTATAATTTGTAAAAGTGTGGAGAAAAAAAGGCTGTGTGCACAACACTACTGAATTACAGGCAATGAGAAAAGTCTGAAGGGAGCCAAATAAGCACAACATCTTCCCAATAAAAACATACTCCTAACGAAACCACATCTACACCACAGCCTCATTGCTCATCAAAGGAAGAAAATTATTTTCAACCTCTGTGGGTGGAAAGGCAGCTTTTTGGTCACTTGGCATTAGCGTCCAAGACTGGAAGAAGATGGCAGTCAACAGGAAATTATAAGAGGGAAATTAACTAAGAAGGCTGGTTGAATGTCATGAAGGAGATTGTGGCAGGTAGACTGGACCAATTCCAGGTCGTCCACAGTCACCAAGAGGAGCTGCTTCCAGAGCGCCCACCACAGTCGGCAGTGCTGTGTCATTCATGGGGGGGACGGAGAAGGGCCCCGGGAAGCTGAGCGTGCACAGAGGGGCGGGGTCAAGTACTCAATAATGCTGCCCTCAGACATGCTGCGGTTCATATGTGGTGGGCTGGTGGGCGGAGGGGAAGAACTGCACCAGGTTCCACTCCGGGGTGGAGCAGAGTTCGGAAGGAAGCGCAGAAAGAACTCGCTGAGACCAGACACCAGATAAAGGCAGGGAAGGGGTCGGACCATCCCAAGGCTTCGGGCTGGGATGATGACCCTGACAGCGGCGAGGGGACAAGGGGACGAGGGGACGAGGGGACGAGGGGACGAGGGGACGGGGGGACGGGGGGACGGGGGGACGGGGGGACGGGGGGGCGAGGGGACGAGGGGATGGGGAACGAGGGGACGGGGCGAGGGACTAGCTCCAGGGGGTGGAGCACAAGCGAGGAGGCTGTGCCGAACACAGCAGGGCACCCTGTGCTGGTGACGGCTGACGCTGAGCCCACTGTTCCTCCCGCCAGTGAGGTACTGGGACAGGCTTCTGAAAGGGCCCCTCCCGCGCCCCCACCTTCCCCACCAGCCCCAAGGACTCCCACAGGCCCAGCTCCCATGGGGACTGAGACTCCAGGGTGTGCCCTATCCGCCCCCTGCCCTGCCCCCAGCCTGCGACCCGTGCACACCCTTCCTGTCTGGGAACTGCGCCCTCTCGTCCCGTTCGTTCGCAGCGCTGCTCCGCCCGCAGACCACGAGCCTGACCGCGAGCCGTCCCGCGGGCGGCGCATCTTCATCCTCCAGCACCTGGCCGAGCCCCGCTGAGCCACGCTGCAGCTGAGGGAACCATGCTCACGCAGCGCTTGCTCAGTTACCCGTTTCTGTGCCTGTCCTGACCATTTCAGAACCACAAACGTTCTACCAGCCTTTATTTGCTCAACTGACCATCCGCCTGTGTTCAAAATACGAACCCAACTGTGCAGGCAGAAATCACCCCTCTGAGCAGGGCGACGACAGCTGCAACTGCCCTGCGGCACCCACAGGGCAAGGAAACGCACACGTGAGTCGTGGGAGAGAGCGCGGCCGTGGCCCGGCTACCTGAGAAGATGTTCTTGAGGTTCTCCACGGCGGCCGCGAGCTGGCTGTGCCGCACGACGGCGTCCTTCACAGCCTTGAGGCTCTCGACGGTGTTGATGCTCTGCCTCCAGTCCTTGCTGACGTCGGCCAGGGACCGCTGGATGTCCTTGACGTCGCTCAGCGCGCTGTGGAGCTGGCTGAGGCCCGTGCGCACCCCGTCCAACTGCGACTGGATCGCGGCCTAGGGAAGACACTGGGTGGGTGAGCAGAGCTGGGACGGCCCCGAGCAGACCTTCCCCAGGAGGCTCAGAGTGTAGAAAAGAGGCGTTTCAGTAGTAGAGAACAGTCAATGCCCACAGACAAGACAACAAAACGCAACAAGGATTCCACGGATTCATAAGGTAGCTTTCCCTTTTTCCCATTGCTTCTTAGAACAAAACGTTTTTAAAGCTCTGCTGAGAAAACCTCACAACACCCATCATCCAGCCCCTTGACCTGAGAACGCCAGACTCCCCCGTGGGAACACCCCGAGTCCCGGGCCGCCCCTTAAGTGCGGCCCTTAGAAGGACTCCACACCACCTCTCAGGCACCCCTCAGCCTCCTCACAGGCCTTCACTAGACGGAGAAACCGTCAGGACTCGCTCATCAGCTTGCGCGGAGAGGGTTTTCCTGCCACTCGGCCAGAACCAGACTCCGCTCCGGGACGGCCGGCCCCACGACGCAGAGCTGGTGCACCTGAGATTCAGACTCACTCTGAGAGCCCGTGGCAACGCCACCCAGTGAGCCGTACAGTCAGAATGGAGAGGGCGTGAAGGAGCAGCAGGTGGATGGGAAAAGGAAGGGAAAGGCCAGGGACCACCACGGTGCCCAGGAATACCTTTCACCCACGAAACACTAAGTAGCGTTTAGAAATAGTTAATGATTTCAACAGACACGACAACTGTTAGCTAATCCCACAAGTTCCTAGAACAGATTAAAATTCTAAATAGGGGCCTCCCCGGTGGCGCAGTGGTTGAGAGTCCGCCTGCCAATGCAGGGGACACGGTTCGAGCCCTGGGCCGGGAAGATCCCACATGCCGCGGAGCAGCTAAGCCCGGGCGCCACAACTGCTGAGCCTGCGCTCTGGAGCCCAAGAGCCACAACTACTGAAGCCCCTGTGCCTAGAGCCCACGCTCCACAATAAGAGAAGCCACTGCCATGAGAAGCCCACGCACCACAAGGAAGAGGAGACCCCACTCGCCGCAACTAGAGAAAGCCCGCGTGCAGCAATGAAGACCCAACACAGCCAAAAATAAACTTAAAATAAATTTAAAATAAATAAAATAGGCCTTCCCTGGTGGCGCAGTGGTTGAGAGTCCGCCTGCCAATGCAGGGGACATGGGTTTGTGCCCTGGTCCGGGAGGGTCCCACGCGCCGCAGAGCGGCTGGGCCCATGGGCCATGGCCGCTGGGCCTGCGCGTCCGGAGCCTGTGCTCCACAACGGGAGAGGCCGCAGCAGTGAGAGGCCCGCATACCGCAAAAAAATAAAAATAAATAAATAAATAAATAAAATAAAATTCTGAATAAAAACGTAGCAGGTCTACACTATTTTTTTTCCTTTGTTTTTTTTTTTTGGCTGCGCTGGGTCTTCGTTGCTCCACGTGGGCTTTCTTCTAGTTGTGGCGAGCAGGGGCTACTCTTCGTTGCAGTGCGTGGGCTTCTCACTGCGGTGTCTTCTCTTGTGGAGCACAGGCTCTAGGCACACGGGCTTCAGTAGTTGTGGCTCGCAGCTCTAGAGCGCAGGTTCAGTAGTTGTGGCGCACAGGCCTAGTTGCTCTGCAGCACGTGGGATCTTCCTGGACCAGGTATCGAACCCGTGTCCCCTGCGTTGACAGGCAGATTCTTAACTACTGTGCCACCAGGGAAGCCCTAAACCATTTTTTAAATTGACATGAAACTGTTTCAAATTAGTCCAGCAGGTCTTTGGCTGCTTCACTGGTGCAAGTGAATGAGCCTCATCCTGTCTCAACAAACCTGCACTTACCTGGCCGCTAATGTTTTCGACTGGAGAGGTGACCTCACTGCCCTGTCAGCATGAGAAGTAACCTTCCTAAAATGCGCTCTCGAGTCCTCAAGACCGCTGTGCTGCCAGTCAACTACAGCAGGCCACGGTCTCAACGTTTTTACAACTACACCAAGTGTGCGTAATTTTAATAAAACCTCCTCTCTCCGCGTGAATTAAGTTGAAAGCCAATCCAAATCATACAAGATCGATTTTCTTTCTTGCCTCAGTCTCCCACACTCTAATAAACGTGCCGAGCTCTCCTCCTTCCTGCCCCAGGGCCAGCCTACTACAGCACGTGCCAGAACGAGCCAAACAAAACGCTCTCTGGATACGCTCTGCAGAAGAGCTTTTAATGAAGAGAAGCTGTCATTCTTCTAGCGTTCTTTAAAAAGTTAAATGGACATTTCTGGGTGCTCAAAAAGGTTGTTCATTTGGTGTTTTCAACATTCCCCCTGTCTTGTCTGTCAATCTACTGATTGGCAGGATACTGTTGGAAGGAACGTGCTAAGTCAAGGTACGTTCAAGGCTGCCCCCTTCCACGTCATCACAAAGTCCAGTTGTTAAGCAGGAACCAGAAACTTGAGATAAAAGCCTGTGTCCCACCTGGGAGTTAAGCAGGTGCCCATGGCCACTCAGGCCTCATACCTTCAATCTGGCCTCCACAGAGGCCTTCTTCCGGGCCTCTCTTCGGCGATACTGCTCCACTTTGTCCAGCTGGTCCGGGCGCTGAAGCATCCCAGCAACCCTCTGGACCGCTGTCGCAACAGCCTCCCGGTCCGTCTCCTTCATGGCTACAAAGCTGGCAGAATCTCTGCGCCTGTCATGCTAGAGGCATCCTGTGTCCATAGGCAGAGAGGGAACAGAAGGGGGAAAATGTGTTAGGGAGGTAGAAAAGTCAGCAACAAAACTTAGCCCCCTCCACCAACAGTGCTGTTCACAGCGGGGCTCTAATGAGAGCATTCGAGATCATTAACCCAGTAAACCTGAAAGAAAGTTGAACTAGGATTATGAACTGCTCGATAAGCAATACAAACCTTCAGAACACAGTTTTACCTTTAAGCGGACCAGAGGCGATTACAGGTATAAGATATTGACATACAGACAATGCCTCTATGGGGGCCCCAGACTACTCATCGTATCAGATGTCAGTCTCCAGGGCACTTCTCTGCCCCAGATAGGGCTAATTTCTCATTTCCAGAGCCCTCACACCACCCCTTTACACACCAGGGGACAGGGGTGGGGGCCACGCCGGGACACCTCGTGCACACGTGGAGGCACAGGGACAGCACGCACCTTACCCTCCCTAGCTAAGGTTCCAGCACCCGTCCTACCATTTCCCTCAAAAATCACTGTCTGCAGTATCCCAAATTCCGTTTCCTACTGCTTAACAGCCCTAGTCAACAAAGGTCAGAGGGCAGAAGGCACTCTGCTCAGGTGCAGTGCACGGGGCACAGGTGCTTGGACACCAAGCACACCTGCCTTCAGCGCCAGCTCCACCAACATCCCAGCCACGGAACTAGGGACACCTGGTGAGCGTCTGGCAGCGGAGGACTGACTTCAGCTATTGGCCGCCCGTCTCCACGCGTGTTTTCTGTGCAAAATTCTCAAAGACATTTCTCACCCCTCCTCACACGCTTTCAGAGCACCACCCAAGTCCGCGCAGGCCCCCGAGGGCCCTGGACACGAGTGCCTTTCGTGCACGCCCACGGAGCGGGGCTGCGGCGCCATCCCTCCTCGCCGCCTTTCCTGATCACAGGCCCGCGCACAGGGCCGGACACCCGGGGCGGCCGCGCGTCTCCCCGCCCGCCACCCGCGCGCGCAGCTCTGCACCTGCTTCCTCCCTCCTCGCGCGGCGCGTCGTCGGCCCCTTCGCGGACGAGAGCCCGCCCCCGGGACCCCACTGCCACCCGCACCGCCTCCCGGCCGCGCCCGCGCCAGCCGGAGCCCGGGGAAGGGACAGCGGGTGGCGACCGCGACCACCGCCCGGAGACCGCCCTACCGCAGCTGCCTCACTGTGCGTGCCGCCGCCGCCGCCGCCGCCCGGAAGTGAGCGGCCGGCAGGCACTTCCGCTTCCGGCCTCGCGACTGGAAGGGTGGGGTCTGGGCGGTCCCGACGCTGCGTGCCCGGCGCGCGGGGTGAGTGACCTGGCGAGCTGGCCGCCGACGGGTGCCGCCCAGATTGGTGGAGACCGCGCGACCCGGAGGGAGCAGAGCGGGGATGCGGCGCGGCGCGGCGCGGCGCGGGAGGGCGCGAGCGCACACACACCGCACGCACGTAAACACATACCACAGGCACACGCCACAGACACGCACGTGTAGACACACCAAACATTTGCACACCACACCCAAAGACACGCACCACCCGTATAGACACAGCACACACAGCAGACACACACCACATACAGACATGCCACACACATACGCACACGCCACGCACACACGCCATAAACGTACACACACACACCACACCCACGTGAGCACACACAGGCACACGGGGGCAGGAAGGTGGAGCTGTGTGAGCCCCCAGTTGCTGTGGCCACGTACCCCAGAAATTACCAGTCAGCTGATTAGCGGATCACGTTCCAAGGGCCAGGACTTAAGCACCGTACTGACTCTGATGGCTGATCCCTCTATTATGTCATCTGCACCTAGTAATTTATGAAAATATAGCACCAAGCTGAGAAATGAAGAATGTAAACAAAAGTTAAAATTATGTTTCAAATTCTAACTATAAAGGCAGTTTGATCATCCTCAGTGCAAGAGTGGACCAGGGAAAACAAACGACAAAACCCGAAAAAGCCATACTTCCCAGGTACTGGGATCCCTGGGTCAGGAAAGGCCCCCCAAGAACACATAGCTAGGGGCCTGCGCTTCACTTGGGTTTGGTGTCCTCCTCATCCTAGAAGCTCTCACTGAAACTCACTGCTCAGCAGAAGCAAACCAGGAGCGTTTTTAGAGAGGCCCTCCAACCTTGGCAGGAGTAAAGAAGGGAGCCAGGTGGTTTGCTTCTAAAGCGTCCTGAGAGAACAGAGGTCTGATAAGCTCTAGCTTAGACTTTGTTAAATATGAAGAGAAAGTGCAAGCAATCCCACAGGGACACTAGAAAGAGAAAAGCCAAAGGATCATATGTAACTAGAAACACAAAGTAAGGAGTACAGATATGTTCAGATATATCAGTTATCAGAACACAAGCAAGTGGGGCTTCCCTGGTGGTGCAGCGGTTAAGAATCCGCCTGCCAGTGCAGGGGACACGGGTTCGAGCCCTGGTCTGGGAAGATCCCACATGCCAAGGAGCAACTAAGCCCGCGTGCCACAACTACTGAGCCCGCGTGCCACAACTACTGAGCCCATGCACCACAACTACTGAGCCTGCGCTCTAGAGCACATGAGCCACAACTACTGTAGCCCACGGACCTAGAAGCCACCGCAACGAGAAGCCCGCGTACCACAACGAAGAGTAGCCCCCGCTCGCCTCAACTAGAGAAAGCCCGCGCGCAGCAACGAAGACCCCACGCAGCCGGGAAAAAGGAAAAAAGAACACGAGTGAAATGGATTTTAAACCAACCAGCTATTTATGAGAAAAATATCTAGAACATAAAGGAACAGGATGGTTAGGTGTGGAGGAGGTTTGCACGCCGGCTAGTCCAGGCCCGAGAAAGCTGGTGTGGCAATATTAATACCAGACAAAATGAGCTTTATATCAAAGGCACGGTCAGAGAGAGTCATTTTCTTAAGGTACAAAACACATAAACCATAAAGGAGAAGATAGTTTGCCATGCTAAGATTTTAAACCCTTGTATTTTTTTTTTAATTCTTAGAAGACAAGCCATAGACTGAGAGAAAATCTTTGACGAAGCACTACTATCTTGATTTTAAAATGACACCCACAATTCACCAAAAACGGCAAACAAGTGCAGGACAGACAGTAGAGGAGCAGCCAGCGCACCAGGGAAGAAACCAGGGTGGGGCTGCCTCCCGGCACTGTCATGGTCCTTAGGGTGGCCGTGGGGCCCCTCTCCTGCCCTGCAGCCGACGCGGCCTCCAAACCGCGGCTCAGGGTCGCTTTCACCGGAAGCCCTGCCGTGCTCCCCTCCCTCAGACCTGCCTGTGACCCGCTGCCCCTGCCTGACCTCATCCCACCCTCTCGCTCCAGCCTGTAAGCCTCCTCCACCCCTACCCTGGACACTGTTCTGTTCCTGTCAAGTCTTGGCTCGAAGTCTGCCTGGCCCACAGAACTGCCACCTGGGCTACAGGACGCCAGCTGACCCATCTGCACAGCACCCACCGCCTCCCGATGCATCACAGGACTTACACGTTCTTTGGTCGCTTCTCTGCACCCTGTCCCCAGTCCACGTGTACAGGGATGTCAGCAGCATGAGTTCTGCATCTTTTCTTCCCTAATATGTCCCCGGCGCTGTCACAGGGCCTGGTCTTCAGCAGGGGCTCAACAACCAGCTGAGTGCAGGAGGGAGGGAAATGCACATAAGACAACCCGCTGCCACCTCGCCCCTCAGAGAGACGGAGCTGAAACTCTGACGGTACCAGATCGGTGGGGAGGTGAGACCCCAGTGGGCGCCGGTGGGCTGCTGCTACGGGCTGAATGCTGTGTCCCCCCAGATCTCACATGCTAAACCGCCCCCCAGGGTGATGGTGTTAGGAGGCGGGCCTTGGGGGGGTGACTAGGCCATGAGAACGGGACCAGTCCCCTTCAGAGAGACCTCACAACACTCCCGCGCCCCTCCCGCCAGCGAGGACACGGCGAGCAGTCAGCAACCCGGAAGCTGGCCTGCGCCAGACCCCACCGCCACCGCAGCCAGGCCTCAGGCCTGCAGCCTCCAGAGCCGTGAGGAATCCGCGTCTGTCGTTGATAAGACACCCAGACTCTGGGATCTTCGTTCCAGCGGCCCGAACGGGCTGTGACAGCTGCCCGTGGCAGGACACCTTTGCAGGACGCCTGGGCAGCCCCTGGTGAACCCGCCCTGGTGAGGTGTGAGCCATGAGCACCCTCAGGTGTGTCCTCGGTCCCGCAGAGGCGCACTGGGCGGGGGTGGGGGGCAGCCGCTGGGCACGTAGAAGTCTGGGAACTACCCGCAAATCCACCGCAGCAGCAGGCTCGGTGGTGGGAGTCACGTGACGGCGTGAACATGAGTGTTGTCCAGCCCCAGGTCTCAAGGCCGTGAGTCTGAAGATCACAGATGGGGGGAGGGTGTGGGGGACGGCAAGCTGGGCAGGTGGCCTCCTGGGACGGGGAGCAGCTGGCTTATACCCAGCTGGCGGGGGCAGGTTGGCCTGGTCTCCCCAGGAGGGACAGGGAGTCACAGAGTAGAGACGGGGGTGGTGGCCTGCAGGATGCAGGAAGGGGGCCTGGCCAGGGCGCGACTGCTGCAGCAGGGGCAGATCCAAGCTCTGTACGGGGCACTTGACGCTGGTGCAGTTTGGGGGTGCTCCTTGGCCAAACAAAGGAAATGAAAACACGGCTCCCTGGGCTTGGGAGGAGTCTCCGCCGGGGCCCTGGTGACCTCCCAGCCCTGCCCACACACGCCTGTCACCAGGTCCTGGGCGGGGCGAGGCCGACGCCACCACACACATGACACGGGGCCAGGCGTCTGCTCCTCGCAGGAGAGCTTGAGTCTGGGGTGTCCTAAAGACACCTGGGATGGTCCCCCTCAACCCTCAGTGACGGGCGGGAAAGGGAGGGAGCGCTGCGAAAGCGGCCACCGGCGCTCCTCCTTTGGCCCCGGGTCCACGTGTGCTTTCATTACCGCCTCGGATCTGGTGGTGAAGGACAGTCTCATAATATAAATTCGCCTACACACGCTTTAAAGGAAATAAATTTGGAAACTTAAGTAGACGTTTCCACTTACAGTAAACGTGTACTAACATGTATGATTTATTTTACATCAATATTGCAAATTTAATACAAACCACAGTATCGGAAATGTATTTGAAAGCTTTCTAAAGGCACTGAGAAAACAGTACAAATAGTTATATTATAGTGTATCCATTTTTAAAAATTCAACAAGTCAGTCTAGATATTGAAAACTTTTTTCATCCAGTAGAAACTGCAAAAATATAAAATATAATTTGTGTTTATCTCCTCCCTTCCACCCCATTCCTACATCATATTTGATTTTAATATTTTTCAGCTATATAGACAAAAGCTACAGGCAACAGAAAATACAAGCCCGTAATTAGCACTGTAATGACATTTTAAAGCAGGACTGGCCACACCTGACCTTCTACATTCCATCCTCACCTTCCCCACACGATTTTTCAGCAGGGGCATGGTTGGAAAATAACAAAGGTGCTGACTGAGGGACATTTTTGTTTTTGTTTTTTTCTTTTGCGGTACGTGGGCCTCTCACTGCTGTGGCCTCTCACTGCTGTGGCCTCTCCGGTTGCGGAGCACAGGCTCTGGACGCGCAGGCACAGCGGCCATGGCTCACAGGCCCACCCGCTCCGCGGCATGTGGGATCTTCCCAGACCGGGGCACGAACCTGTGTCCCCTGCATCGGCAGGCGGACTCCCAACCACTGCGCCACCAGGGAAGCCCTGAGAGGCGTTTTGTTCCCACCGACCTAGCACGTCAGGACCTGGGCCCCGAGCATGATGGCCTCTCCAGAACGCAAGACCTGCAGCGCTGACGTCCAGAGGCTGCATTCTGCATCGGCAACGCATGACTTGTCTGCCCACCAACCGGGACCAATTTGGTGCAGTTGGTCCCGGGAGAGTGGGTGCATCTGAAACGTTGGGGCACCATGGCCCTCATGGGCGAGGACAGCTGAATGTCCTTCAGCCTGCAGCTCTTTTTTGGTTACACTAGGATCCGGCTACAGCGTGCAAACATGCAATGGTGTCTCTCAATTCCATCTTTTCGGTCCAGGGTTTTCCCACTTACGTGTTACGCGCGTGCAGCGCACCTGTCTGCTGTACCCTGAGACGGGAAGGGCAGGCGTCACACTGAGGGGTGCCCCGGTGCATCCCAGGACCCACTCCTGTGCCGAGGGTGACATTGCACAGAGGGAGCTCCAGAGAGGCTGACAGTTACTTTTGAGAGACGGTGCAGGGCTGCCCGCGAGGAGCTGGGCACTTGGCGTGAATAGAAAGGAAGGAGGAAGTTTCCGATATTCCACCCTTTGTCTTAGGGATGAAATCTATCAGGTGTGCTGGGCTCAGCGTGAGAACTAAGTAGAGAGGGATGCTAAGCCAGCGGGGGGCGAGGGTGGGAAGCAGGTGGTCCCGACAGGCAGCCTGGCTGCCACTGTGACGGGGAGGGGGAGACTCTGGCGAGGGAGGGGGGGACAGCACAGCACCGATGTCACTTTTGCAAGGCCCCCGGGGGCTGGGCAGAGATGAGCAGGCTGCTGGGCAGGGCTCGGGGATCCCAGGAGGCCACAAATTGATGACTCCCAACCCTGGGCTCCAACGAGTAACCTCTGTCAGTCCAGGGAGAGACCTTCAGCTCCCACCACGCCCCCCAGGGGAAGCCCCTCCACGAAGCAGGCAGCTAGCTGCCTAAGGGTCAGAAGACCCAGTCCCGCCAGCCCAGTCCCGAGTCTGACAGGGTAACGAAGCATTTAGCAAACAGCTTCAGCATTAACTCAGGAGCTGAACAGTGACACCCCAAAGCCACAGATGCCGGACAAAAAGACCCCCCGCTGAATGTGGCGGGGCTGCAAGGGGCCCCTGCCCGTCCCGAGCCTCCCGGGGCAGATGGTCACATCCGTAAGGAGGGTCTCCAACCACAGCACAGGGGGGTCTCCGACCAGCTCCCTGCTCGGTGGTGATGTTGCCCCCTGGTGTTGTGTCCCGTACTAACTGCACCCGTGGCGTGGGGTCACCCCGGAAGGCACGGTGAACTTCGCCCTGAGCCACGAGCCACCCCTGGTGATTGCAGGTGACCTGCACTTTCCGATTTATTCTTTGCACCCTAATTTCCTGCGTTCAGAATGTGTTACCTTCACAATTTTTCCTTTTTCTTTTTCTTTTTTGGCTGCACCGCACAGCATGTAGGACCTCAGTTCCCCGACCAGGGAGCAAACCTGCGCCCCTGCGTTTGAAGCATGGAGTCGTAACCACTGGACCGCCAGGGAAGTCCCCACAATGTTTTCGTTTTTGTAAAGCATCACCTGTCTGTCTCGTCTCTAATAGCTCCTCCTAGGATGGTGATTGGCGTCTCATTTAAAAACCTCTAGAGAGTCAGCAAGGCAGCTGGACAACTGGACTAACTCGTTCCTCTCCCTACATCTTGTACTTCTCTAGACTTGCAAATCCAGACCCTGTAAACTAGGTTGCGTGATGCGGTGAGAGGCAGATGAGCAAGAACCACCTTCAGGGGCCCCCTGACAACACCAAGACGCTCGCGGAAGGAGGAACAGGGTGGGATCAGGCCAATCCTCCCCCGGGCCGGCCTCAGCCTGCGCCAGCGCCTCAGGCACATGCACGTCGTCGTGGTGAACTGCCGGCCCGGTGCTGACAGCCTCTTCCGCCTGGAACTTCTGGACTCCGCCCAGGATCGGGCAAGTGGTCACCTGCTGCTCAACAGGCTTGATTCCCAACTTGCTGTCTCGGCAGTGGGACCCCCAGGGTGAGGCTGCTCCCCGAGGTCCACTCGCCGGAGGCGGCGTCGGGGAAGCCAGGAAGGGGGGGCGCTGGGGGCTGCGGTCAGGCCAGGTCGCCGGTCGCCTGCCCCCGCTCGCTGCACCTCTCGGAGCGCCGAGTGCTGCCCGGCCAGGCAGCCCAGCTCACTCCGGCCTCTTTCTGAGAAACCGTGTCCCCTTAGAGGGCAATACTGTCACACTTGAGCAGACATGAGACCGCTCTGCATTTAAGAACCTCAGTGGCTTTGGACGAGACACAGGATCTGCTATTGCACGCGCCTCCCTCAGGAAAGTGTCTGCCCCTGCACTGCCATCCCGGCCGGCCGAGGGACGGACGTCAGCCTTTACAGACGCCTGCTCTACGGCAGGAAGGTGCACTCGGGGTCTCTGGGTGGCATCCGTGTCGCCAAGGTGCTCCTGGGGAGCATGCCGGGCGCCCCGCCCTGGCCGTGAGCGGCCCACGGGGGCGAGTCCAGGGGCTCAAGCTTGACTACAGGCACAGGCCCGGGAGCCTGGCAGTCACAGCCCAGGCTGGGGGGTTGGTGGCCCCCAGCACAGAGGCGGGGTGGAGGCTCCAGGCAGGCGCAGTGTGCGGGGTGCAACGGGGCCAGCTCCCTGCCGGGCCTGGGGTGGGGCCCCAGCAGGCCGGGCCCCAGGGGTGGGCTGTAGAGGGGGTGCCTGGAGTCCGGCTCCATCTTCAGGTGCATCCTGGTAGGGAAAGTGACCAGCTGTCTCTTGGCCACGTCGCTGGCCCCCAGCCACGCCTGGCTCGGGGACACACAGTAGCCATCCGCCGCATCCTCGGACCCGGATTCGCTCTCCATCTTGATGGGCACATCGAGTGACAACATGGGGTTACACGGGGCTCCCGGGGGCATTGGGATGCCTCGAAGCTTGTCCTCGGTGGGATAGCACCCCGTGGGGAGACGCTGCCCTCCTGGCCGAGGAAGCCCGTCCTCCAGGCTCCCCTGAGGGAAGGGGCAGCTGGTGGGTAGGGGAGCCTGGCCCTGGTGGCCGTCCCGCAAGCCTGTGCTGGTCCGGCTGGCGCAGGGCCCGGGGGGAGGCTTTGGCTGGTGAGAGCCAGGTGAGCTCCTGACGGCGCGGACAGTGCCCTGGGTGCCCGGGTAGGGCAGGCAGGCGCCACGGGCCTGCGCGGCGGGGAATGGGTCACCCTTGCCGGGCTCCAGCTTCAGCTTGGTGCCGCCGTCCTGACCGTGTCTCCCCGGCGTCCAGTTCAGGTGCTTCGAGGGTCCCTGTGCCTCGAGGTGGCAGCTGTACGGGGGGACGTCCCTCCGCTCCCTTGGGCAGGAGGGGCCCCTCGGCAACCCCCCCAGTTCCTCTCCTCGCCCATCCCTGCGGGAAGAGACGCCCGTCAGACAGAGCAGGGGTAGCGGGGGCCCAAGGGGAGGCCCTGCATCACGATGGTGCCGGCCACCTGCCGGGGCTGCTCTGCGCTGCCTGTGGCACTGTGACAGTGGGCCAGCCTCCGCCCCTCCTGAACGGGCCTTCCCATGGCCTCCCCCGCACCCAGAGGCGAGGGCAGGTGGGGCCTGGGAGGGAAGAGGGTTTCTGAGCAAAGGTGAGCACGGAGGCCGGGCGTCACCCGGGGGTCCAAACCATGGGCAGAGCCACGGCCGTGGTCCCCACGTGAGTGATGACGACCCCTCCAGGGTGAGGAGTGGGTGTGGGCACCCTCTGTGCATCCCCACATCCCACTGAGAGAGGGTCAGCCCCGTGGTCAAGGCCGCCGACGCCGTGCCTCAGCCACTTACCCTGCGGCCCCCTCGGGGTGGGGGTGGAGGAGGTCATGGCCGCCCCGCAGGCACAGGCAGGGGCCCCGGGTTGCCAGCCGGCCCCAGTGGCAGGCGTCTGCGGGCCTCCTGAACACAGACAGGCCGTTTCCTCCGCTGCCCCTCCCTGCCAGGATTCAGAAAAGGGGGGGTGAGCCGCGCCTGGGCTGGGCGAGGCCTCATCCTCAGTGCCAGCCACGCATGACGCATGGCTTCCCCGCGACGCCCGAGGCGCCGGGCACCCTCCGTCCTCCCGCCCAGCCCTCCAGGCTGCATCGCCACAGAACGCAGCATGTCTCCAGGGGCACGGTCATTCTACCCATTTCAAAAAGACGAGGTGGAGAATTTAACAAGTACCTGCTAAGTAACTGGGTTTTCCGTGCAATTCTGGTTCACAGAGACTTGCGGCAGCTTTTGCTCTGAGAAGGACAGGAAACAGCAAAACACGCAGATGAAACGTGTGTGAGGGCAGAAATGACAACACGACCCGTGTTGTTGTCACACCCAAGAGCAGAAGATACAATGACTCACACTTTTTAAGCCTGTATAGATTGTAAAGCCTTTTCCCAGTTACAGGTTTGCTGAAAATTCCAATTCTCATCACCTTTCAGGCCAATGAAGCACTAATGAATTTCCTTCAGAAAGCAGACATACGCCTAAGATGACTTTCAGTGCATTTGTTTTCTTCTGCGTGGTCAGAATGGAAATACAGATTCCTCTGATTTGCAGTAGTTATTTGCGGTAGTTTACAAAGTCATCACGAGTACTAAGTTAGTGATGCTGAGCCATCGCCCCAGGGGAGTGTGTACACACACACACACACACACACACACACACACACACACACACGTCTCACAGATCTTGTAATCTTAGATCCTAAGGCAATGTGCAACTTATCCTGGGAGATCATATTTTCTTCATATTTCAAAAGCAAAAACAAGGCTCACGGGTGTTAAGTGATTTGCCTAAAGCTGCCCCTATAGCAGGTACGAGAATGGGATTCAAACCCCGTCCGACCGGCGCCACAAGCCAGAGCTTCCTGCACTGCAGTTGGCCCTACCTCTCCATCTTCTGGGCGTCTGTGTAGGAGCCAGAGCCAGAGACAGAGCCAGAGACAGAGGTGGAGACGGAGACAGAGATGGAGACAGAGACATGAGGTTGGAGTGTCACCCTTAGCGGGGTGCAGATCACACACACAGAGCCTGTGAACATTTAGGTGTGAGGGGGTATCGCAAAGTCCCGTTCAGGAAAAATTGTGAAGGACCTGAAATGCCTTCCAGCGACCACGACGTCCCTTCCGGAGCAACCCTCCTGGGCCTCGGGCTCCCGGGTTAGTTCCTCACAGCCTCTGAGCTCAGAAGGGAACGGGCATGACACAGGCACCGAGGCCGGTTACGAATTCAGGTCAGAGCCGAATTCAGCTCCAGAAAACCTGAAGTCGAGAGAAGCTATTTGCTTCTTTCCTAAAATGTTGGCTGGCTCTTCCTCTCTTCGAGTTTTAATGATGTTCTGTACAATGTGTGTCTAGTACTCGTTGCACGGTCACTCTGTGGGCAGCATCCTAACCCTCACCGCACAGACCCTCGCCAGACCTCCGAGGGACGTCCAGGTGTCCACGCCGCCCAGGGCAGTGGCAGGTGAGCCGGGGAGCCCGCACCCACCGCCCCAGGCTCAGGGCTCCTGCGCGGCCCTGGCTGGGGGTGCCGTCCGCACACCTGCGCTTCCCCGCGTGGCCGCCGGGGGGCAGCAGGGCCTCTAGGAAAAGCGATAGGAGGGGACGATTTTCCCTCCGTCTCGTTTGTACGGCTGGGGAAACATACAGAAGAGAAGAGCTCATCGTGTGGGGCCCAGTTACCGTCATCAAGCCAGAGAGCTCGAAAGCAGAGAACTCTGAGACGGCAAAGGCAGGTGGAGGGTATTTCTCCCCAGCGTTAGCCCAGGTGGTGGGGAGAAAGCAGGTGCGGCAGAGCTGTCTCGCCGGCAACACACGCGTAGGTGTGGTCGAGCGTAATCTACGTGCTTTGTCGCACCTCACGTTTTAGTTGCTTCATCAGTTATTTTTAGAGTTTTTCCCCGCGGGCATTCTGTTTTTCCTTCCTCCTATATTACAACATCTTCTACCTTTGTAAAAAAGAAGGCATATGTATTTAATTTTTAAATGCTCCAGAGAACTGCTGTCTTAACGAGCCGGCACGTGCGAGACCCAGAGGCCGTGCAGACGCGGCTCCACCTGCAGACCCGGGGCAGGAGTGGGGGAGCAGGGGGCTCAGAGCCCGGCCATCTGAGCGGGCGCCGAGGCCAAAGGGGAACCTGGGCACTGAGGAAGGACAAAGAAGCGGGTTGCAGACTCAGGTCTCCTGACATTCTGCCCCTGGTCGCGGCACAGGGGAGGGTGTTGAGGAAGAAGAAAGGCAGACCTCAGACGCCTCTCCTCTTCCCCGGGGTCTCCCTCGCACCACGGGAAACACGGTTTGCACGCGCACAGCATCTTAATCTCTCCCAGAACCTGACCCATGCAACACAGACCTAGCCCATCCCTAGAATTACAGACAGGAATCTCCCAGAAAACCTAACTCTGGAGAGCCAAGAAGTCGCGGGGTGGCGCGATGTGTGCGGGACGCCTGTCTGCAGCGTGTGCCCCAGCGGTGGGCCTGGTGTTGAGGGAGGGCACGCAGAGAGAGGCAGGGAGGCTGCGGTCCGGCCTCCCGTCCCGCACGGGGGACACGGGCCCAGGTAAGTGGAGGGCTTAGGCATGAAGAGATGCAGCAGTGTTTGTGCCACAGTCCACAAGTATCAGTGAAAGGTTTTCTTTTTTCTAATAGCTGCTTCCTACGTGATGTAGTAACTTTAACAACAACAAGCTTCTCATTACATTCCTTGCTGGAAATGAAGGAGGGATAGACAGAAGATACTAAGTGTGGAGACGCTGTGTTTGAACCACCAGGATGGGACCGCGGCTGCTGGGGGCTCTGACTCACTTTGTGTCCGGCGTGGCCGAGGCGTCCACCCTGTGCTTCGCCCTCAGACACACACTCTGCATCTTCACCGCAGTAGGCAGGGGCGCCACGACGCAGAACAGGGAGAGCCGAGGGGGCAGGGCGGCTCCCGACGGGGCCCTCCTCTTCTGCCCGAACAGGAATTTTAGTTTCCCTTGAAACTGCATCGTCTGGTGTTTCAAAGACAGAAGCGAAGGCATGTTCACAGAGTGAATCATCGACGCGGTCAAAGGCCGTGGAGCTCACATTCCCGGGGACAGAAAGCCAGAGAGCTCTGATCCCGAGTCTCTGAGGAGCCATGAACCAACGCGCCTTCCACGCTGGCCCTTGGGACAGGCGCTCCCTACCGCCTTTGAATGACTCGGGGTTTCGCTAGCATCCCCGTAACATCCTCTAACCTTCCAGTGTGTTCTCACGTGTGCCCTCATGGGTGTGAGGGTGTGCAAGCATGGACTTGGCCGGAGCCACCAGGCAGCCCCCCAGGAGGACTTGCTGGAGCAGATCATCTCTGAGGACTGTTCTGCATTAACCGTCCACTTCCAAATTGTCATTCATCGACAATTGTCATTCATGGTGATCAAACTTAGGGACAACTTGCTTTGTTTATCTGGAGCGCACATGGCGCGAGTTAAAAAGCCAGAAAGTAACTCTGGAGTTCGTGATAAAAGCAAATAGAAGATCTCGCTATTACGGAAGAGTTGATCTATAACTGAGTTAGTTCACGGGTGACTTCAGGGGGCCCCAGCCCTGGATGGAGGAATAAGCCCACAGGATGGCTGCACTCTTTCCCTATCCCTCGTCTGTCCATTCGCCCCTCCCTCCATCCTTCCATCTGTCCATCCATCTCTCCCTCCATCCACCATCCCTTCATTCACCCATCCATCTGTCCATCCCTCCATTTGTCTATGACTTTATTGGGTGAACAAATGCTTGCAGAGCACCTGCTATGTGATGGTCACATGCTTGGTGGCGCAGTCAGGGCAGTGGTGCTGGGACATCTTTAACATCCAGCTCTCCAGAGGGAAAAAGCCCTGACTTTTAGTTTTTGACGATTTCTTCGGTGTAAAAATTCCCACCATGGCTGATTTCGAGCTGCCAACCTACTATCAGCTGGATCTCTATATTCCTGAAGTTTCGACAACGGGCTCCCGTGGGCAGCCCCACCTGCCGGGTGTGGACAGGCTCTGCACAGGCTCAGGAGTAGCTGTGGTGAGCCCGGAGGCCACGTGATGCCGCTGCCCACTGCCCTGTCCTCGGCACTCCGCTGCCCGTGCCGGACCCCTTTCCCGCACGTGCACGTGCAGTGACCAACCTCGCAGTAAAGTATGATGAGACACTTTGCAAACTGATTTCTTTTGCTTATTTCCTCTACTCGGTGCTTCTGACACAGCTTCACTTCAACTTAGGTTTTGATCTCTGCCTCACTGTACAGTAAAATCTACCTACATCCACGCAGAGGGAAAACTATCTTAGTTTCCCACAGAACTGAGAACAAAGTATGATCAGGAAAAAAGACTTTCTGGACAACCAGCTGACTGCCTGAATAAGAGATGAGCAGCGGGGTGCAGGGGTTGCCCGTGCTTCATCCGCCCCAGCGGACCTCCCACTTCATTCTCACTCACCCGCCGTCACTCAGCCTTGCCACATCAAGGCCGGAGCCCGCGTGCCGCCAGCACCCCGGCCCCTGGCTTCTCCCGCCCAGCAGCCGCTCACTCACCAGGAAGCCCGAGGTGCTGTCCAGCAGGCAGCGCACACGGCAAATGAAGCACCGCGTCAGGAAGGCCGAGTACTCGGTGGGCCAGCCCGCGGCTCCCTCCTGGGCCCGGAGCAGCCTTCCCAGGACGGCGTCCTCTCCTGGCCGCGTTGGCACAGGCGGTGGTGGTCAGGGAGAAACCGGAAACACACTCTGATAAGCAAGTTCGTAATGTAACAGCAAGCTATCAGCACATAACACACACGCCTGCCCCCAACTGACACCTGTCCCTGAGCATCCCTCCCGCCCTGACTAAGTCAGGTCTTTGCCCTCGAAAACGGCATTTGGGTACAACCGCGTGTGTGACGAACACACGTGAGGCTGTTGACCAGTTCAGGGTTTTGGTTCTGAGCTCTATAAAACTGTGTCGGCACCCGGGGGTTGCACTTTTCTCTAACTTTACAGGGTAACTCATGCTGCTGCGTGAAGGTGTGCTGCAAAGTCCTCCTGAATCACGGACTGCTCGTGGGGAGACGTGTGGGAGAGCCAGCACTCCCTCCCCCCGCTCTGGACCCCAGATGAACGCCGCCCTTCCCCTCGAGCTCCCGTCGGCTCTGCAGTCTCTTGGGCACTTGGATGCCTGCCCGGTGCGTCCCGTGGGCAGGGGCCACGGATCCGGGACTTTGTAGGGGCTCTCGCTCCCAGGGGGCAACGTCCCTGAACAGACAACAGTCTCTGGGGGATTTTTTCTGGTAAATCTAAAGTGAGTGGAAGGAATTTCCTGGAAGACATGCGTCTGAGGGGGAGTTTGCAAAACCAGAGACAAGTACCGTGGCTTCTCGGCCTCACGCCATGCCCCGGGGGGCACAGAGCAGCAGCCCAAGATGCAGGGGCACTCGGGAGCCAGGGAGCCACGCGGGGCTGGAGGAGGGCAGGGCGGGGCACAGGACGAGGTCTCCGAGGAGGGGGCATCCACACTGCACCAACTGGATGGGAAGGAAAGGGGGTGATCCGTGTCTGAGTTAGACCAGGGCCCCCAAGACCCACCTGTCTCTGAGAGCAGGTTCTGCCCACACCCAGCCTGGGGAGGGTCCATGGCCCAGTGCAGCTGCCGGCAGAAGTCCTGGCGGTCGTCCACGTGGATGTAGTCGTAGATGTTCTGGTGCATCACGTCCGTCTGGAACATGGCAACAGTCATTTTAGCCTTACCCTGAGTGAGTCGCCACACTTTATTCCAGTGTTAATAACTGCGAAAATGCTCCTCCATCTGTCAAAGGCAAGTCACACCTGTGAAGAGAAGGTCCCTCCCCGGAGGACGTGACCACATGGCCTGGACACTGGGCACCCGGCTCACGAGGCGCAGAGCCGGGCACACTGCGGGTGCCCCCCAGGCCAGGCGGTGCCTTCAGGGCCAGTCGGGGACTCAGAGACCAAACGTCGCTGGGGGTCAAGATACTTTCCAAGTTGGCTCCAAGCTCACCAAGCTGTGCGTTTGTGTTTGGTCACCTTCCAGCCTGTCATACTTGAATCACGAAAGTTAATTAAGAAAGCATCCCTGTGAAGTGAGCTGGGGGCCACCAGGTGAGATGGGGGCCAGGCCAGCACCTCCAGTCCTGACCACCACCACCCCCGGTAGGACGCCGCAAGGACCCACCAGTCCACAGCCCTCTCTCTGGTGCTGGATCCTCCCACCTGCTCGGGCCCCGAACGCAGAGGCCAACCCACAGGTCCATGCTGGGAAACTGCGGTCTGGGGCACAAAGGCCGCTGCCACGGGCTACGAAGACTGGCTTCATTAGACTCAACGGTTGCTGTTGTCGGCAAAAACGTCCGCAGAGTGTCGACAGATGACGAGCCTGGAGCACATCTCCCCACTACCCTCTCTTAACTGAAGGGCATCACTCATTACCCGCCTGGGAGCCCAGCCCGCCAGGTGCTGTCTGTGACCTCTTCAACTGGTCCATTTCTGAGTTTCCATCATTTCTCAACTGGATCCCTGTAACACTAGATGGAGGAAAAGTGCCTGAAGGATGAAGACTTCACAAATGACGTTACCTCCTTAGAAGGTAACAGGTAACCCCACCCAGAGTGGATGAGGTGCCGCATCTCTCCACAGGTCCTCCTGTAACTGGCCCCCGGACATCAAACGGGTAGCCTCAGAAAGGCAGAAAATGAGCATGATCGTAACTCGAAGGCCGGACTCTATCCCCTGTGCGCCCCCCAGCCCAAGACACTGTTTTCACAGGAACGACAGGACCCTGAGGTCAGAAATGACGGTGGTCCTTGGTCAGTGCTATCCAGCGTCAGGGAGTCTGGCGTGACTGGGGACCAACTCATGGTGGACGTGGGCACACCTGACTTTCCCTCCTGCTGAGACCTGGTGGCACCTGCCGCACCTTCTGGTTCTCACCCGCCTGGCAGCTGGCAGCCTCACCTGGAGGCTCCCTCTCACCAGAGGCTCCCACCTCACCTGGTAGCTCTATGGTTACAAGGGCACATCCCATAGCCATGCTTTCCTAACACACTTTTGTGATTCAGGCGTAACGCATAGGCTGAAAAGTGGCCACGTCATAAATACGCAGCTTCACCACCCAGTCGGGAATCAGGACCCCTACAGCATCTCAGAACCCCTTCCCTCCACCCTCCCCAGAGGCGGTCGTGGCGCAGAACCCCGCACTGCTGGCTGACACTGGATGTAAATGGAGCGCTGTGACCTCTGTGTCACATCACAGTTGCGTGTGACGGCAGTGTTTCAGCCCCACCATCGTGTGGTACTCCACTGTCAGAACATACCACACTGATTAGTCCTCTCACTGCTGGGCCCTCTGAGTTATTTCCCGTCTGAGCCTGTTACAGAGGCTGCTGCTGTGTCTTCGAGGGCATTTCTGTTGGATGCACACCCAGGAGTGGAATGAATGGGTCACGGAGTGAGCAGAGCCTCCGCTTTAGTGGAAAAGGCCGAACGGCCGTCCAAAGTGAGCACACGAATACGCACTTCCGTCGTGGCAGTGTGTGGAGCTCCAGTTGCTTTATGTTCTGGCCAACCTTTGGTATTTTCAACGCTTTTTCTTTTTTTGAGCTACGGTGGTGGATGCATCATGGTTTCTTTTGATGGTTTTAATTAGCACGTCATGAAGACTAATGAAATTGAACATCTTCTCACATGTTTATTGGTTTTTAGATGTGTGTGTGTGTGTGCGTGTTGCTCGCTTCTGTCTTTCCCATGATTTCCGTCGAGCTGTCTTGCCGGTTTGTCAGCACTCTTCATCCTTCTGGACAGGAGTCCTTTCTTGGGTGGATTCCTTTGCAAAACTCTTCTCCACTCCCTGGCCTCCCCTGCTGCTCTCTTAATGGGTCTGGCACAGCCTGATTCATCAATCTCTCCTCATGGACAGGGTTTTAGAGTTTTTGTCCTGTCTATGTACTCCGTCCTCATATACCTCCTAACTCTGCCCTGTTATCTTCTAGAAGCTTCCACCACCCACCCGACATTGACTGTGCACGGTGTGAGGTAGGAGTCGAGACTCATTTTGTTCACGTGGATCCAGTTCACGAAGCACCATTTACTGACGAGACCAGCGCCCGCCCACCTCTCGGCAGCACCAGCTTCACTGTAAACCCGTGGCTGCTCTGAACCTCCGCTCTGTCCTGTGGGTCCACCTGTCCATCTTCCACCAACCCCACACGTCTCAGCCACTGAGCTCGACGGGCAGTCTTGTCTCCGGGATTGTACGTCCCAGGGAAAATCACACCCCCCACCGCCCTGCCGATGGGAATGCTCCGCCCTCTGCATTCCCAATTAGCTTGTCAGTTTCCTCTCAGAGAAGCTGCTCGGTTTTTACGGCAGTGTTATTAATTAATGTCATTCTATAACTTGATCTGATGTCTTTATGATAATAATATCGAGTCCTCCAGTCCATGATATGGCATACCCTTCCATTTACCTGGATCTTCCTTAACTTCCTTAAATAATGTTTTATATTCTGTGTGGAGATATTGCATATCATTTGCTTGACTCATTCCTAGGAATCTGGTGTTTTTCCATCCTACTTTGATGGATGGCATTTTCCCCTCCATGGTTTTGATTAAAGGAAAACAATTGTGCTGACCTGTGAGCGCTGGATACGTCTCACCATAAACTGATATACAGGCACTGTGATCCAGGTTATTCTCTGGTGCGTTTTAGCAGGTGACCCCAAGCCTCGCAGAACCCCAGGGCCTCCCTGCTGCCCCATCTGCCGTCTCCACACACCTCAGATGATTCACGAATGGGACGCAAGGTGTGGGTCTGTGGCTTAATGGGCACAGGAGGCAGGTTGACTTGGAGACATCGCTGACCAAGGTGAATTTGAAGACCAGTTATCTGGGGTGAGGAGACCAAGTTGGTAGCAACTAGTGTGGCTGCCCTTCGTCCTTCCTAATCTCCTAGGGTCTGATTCCTACAAATGAGGTCAAGAAAAATAAATGGTGGGAAACGTGAGAAGGAGGGAAGAGAGTAGGTAACAATGATTCAAACAGCACAAAACAGGCCCTGCTTTGGTTGGGTCAGGCGGTCTTCATCCTGCCTCTAAACCACCCTTTGCGGAGTTGAGGATAAAAGTATTGATACAACCGTTTTCACAAACAGCTCGTTCCAGCAGTAACCATCTCTACTTTCTGTGCAGAGAGGGCGCATATCCACTCTCCATGCCCGTGGATTCCTTCCACAGACCCTCACATCTGCCCCAGTTCACATGCGGACAAGCTGCCCCTACCGCAGACCTCCGAGAGAACAGACAACATCTTGAAACAGCAAACGGCAACAGCGACTAAAATATACATCTAAAGCCTATCCATTCGTCTCAGAGAGCGCTAAGCGCAAGATACTGGAACGCTGCACTCAGGTTGCGCCAGGAAATACCTGGTTCCTGACTTTTCGTAAGGCGTTTTGCACAAGAAGCTTACAATAGCACAAAGCAATCCGAACATGTTCATGAAATATTTTGCATAAACTAGAGGCATGGCCTGATTTAATGGCATTTGGAAACTATTTATTTATAATAAAAGGCAAAACTTTTTTTGGTTTTCACTTCTAACGCTTCAGCGGAAATAACCAAGTTCCAAGAAACCAGAAGAGCCAATTAGCAAGTTCAGACCTGGAAGCAGGTCTCCTCTGCAGGGCTTTTCCCACGAAGGTCCTACCGGGTGGTAAGACCTTCGAATTACAGCCAAAGGCAGGTGGCTCTGGGTGTCTGGAGAATTCACAGAGCAACTCAGGCGACAGTGATGGGAACGAAAAGAAATTCTGAGCACGCAAAAGGCAGACCGAACCACGTTTTTCTAGATCCAGATCCTGCACACGACCTCCAGGGGAGCACGTGGAAGGCTTCGCTATTTGGGGCTGGAATGCCTCGTGCCCACGGCCTCGCGGAGTCACCTGCCGTCCTGGAGGGGGCGCTGCTCCAGGGGACCCTGAGCCCGAGCCTGCACCCCGGCCACGGCCCCCGACCTCGTGCGAGCGCGGCCTCCGCACAGCGACTGCAGAGGCGCACCGCGTGGCCCAGCTCCCGCGTCAGGAGCGCCCCCAGCGCCCTGGGGCTCCCGGCCGCGGCCTCGCAGCCCCACCGCGCGGAGGAGGAAGTCGGGCGACCCCGACTCGAAGGGGCGGAGCCGGCTCCCCGAGGCCACGCCCCCGCGGGGGCCGCGCCTCCACCCGCTGCTGGGCCACAGGCCGTGACCGCGCGATCGCTGCCCGCGAGGCCGCCCAGACGGTCCCGGGGCCACGACAGGGCCTGGCGGTCACTCTGTGCGGGTCCACGTGGCAGGAAAGTCAACCTGGAAACGAGCGTGGGAGGAATCGAAAACGATTCAAATGAGGATTTTCATGGAAATTAGATCACGGGCCCCATCGGCCTCAGGGGCTCTGGCGGAGCTCAGTTCTCAGCCTGTCGGGGACCGGGCTCTCACACCTTGGCTTCCGCTGCCCTCAGCTTCGGGCACCCCCTTGGTGCTCGGCCCATCCAGGGAGATTTTCGTTCTTAACGCCAGTCTGGCCTGTCCCCGCTCCCTCGCTTGGCTCTGATCCCGGCTCTGCAGATACTTCCCCTCTGCCGGCAGAGGTACCCCGGCCCCGCGGGGCCGTCCACGACCTCCAGGCGAGCACCCCTGTCCCAGTCTCGCCAGCGTCCCAGCGGGTGGGCGCCTCGGGGGACTCTCCATCCCCCAGGGGCCGCCGCCTCGCCCCAGCCAACGGGGGGTGGGGCGGGGGCGTGGTCTCCGAAAAGTGCTCCTCCCGGGCGCCGGGGCTCCGCCCTGCGGGCGCTGCTCCCTCTGCACCCACTGTGTCTGCAGCCCTTTCTCGCTCATCCTGTGTCACTAGGCGATGATTCTTTACACTAAACTTACATTAGTGTAAGTTTGTAAATTCTGTATATTAAGCCGTGCGAATCACTGCACAGGTTCTGCCTCCGGATGTGGCCCTGAGGACAGACACACTGTTCTCCGTTCCTCCAGGTTCTGTTTTGTTCTCTCGCAAATCCACCTGTTTTTGTCTTGAATTCCTCAGGGAGGGTGCCAGTGCCGCTGGCCCGTGGCTTCCTCGAGTTAATAACTCCGCACCGCGAGCTCCCTGCAGAGGGCTGCGTCTGGGGGGTGGCCCCTGGCAGAGCAGCTGCGGCCACTGTGGTGCCCGGCTTGTCCTCAGACCTCAGCCGTCGAAGTTCCAGAGCCGGGAGGCTGCACCATCAGGCTGGTGACTTTGGGTTGGGATTTCTCACGAGAGACTTCTTTTCCCTCCCGGAGGCCAAGCCAGGTCCTTCTTCCTTTCCTGGGACTTTTCATTGAGCCACCCTTCTAGGACCCGGTGTTGCATGGGACTCCATCCAGCTCTGTCCCAAGGTCTGGAATCATCCAAGCTAGGCTTGCCTGGGGCAACGTTCCAGATGAATTATCTGTACACCAACAAGAGCGTTTCCAGAACACACTACGTCCTGACTGTACCTCGTGTCTGGGCTTTGAGACACCAATGCACAGATGAGGACAGGTCCACTGCCCTGGCCCTGACCAGCCTCTCACGGCGAGGAGCCCGGGAGGCCCGGCCTCAGTCAGCACAAGTCGCTGCCCTTTAGACGGGGGACGCCCAGGACACTGTCATGCCTCTCGCTGTGACCCTGGGCCCTAGACAAAGCTAGGTGTGCAACTCCTCATCTGACAAAAGCTCCATGATTTAAAAAAAAAAAAAAAAGAAGCAGCAGCTTGATTTTAGAGACATTTTAAACCTTGAAGACAACGCGTACTTTCAAGGTAACAGAACCGAACCGCAGCAGATAGAGCAGCTGTGTTTACCTGGTGGAAGCCCAGATAGTCCACGATCGTCGCTGACGCGTAGAATATCATCCCCTCTGCGCTCACCACCAGAGCAAAGCCGTGGAGGGACTAGAGAAAACAAAACATCGAGTTGGCTCCAATATGCCTTTGTGAAATCACTCAAATGAAAAAGTCGAGCATGGATTCTGTTCGGCTTTTCAACCATTTCTCCCCCGTTTTGTGGTCTGTATTCATAACCTCCAGAAAGGCCCGCTTTTAATTTATTTATGACCATTTTGCAAAAGGTCCCAAGCTAGCAGGTGACACGGGAACTTGGTCATGGTTTATAAGGCTCAAGACTAGGGTTCTTCTTTTTCTAATGATTATCAAATTTATGTTTTATAAAATATACACCATCACTATGAGATGACACGTCAGTACCTGAAACAGAACAGAACCTTTATGCCACCTTGTGGATTTCCCCATTCATGCACCCTCCTCTATACCATGTTCTGATTTTTCTAAGAATTTTTATCATGAAAAAATGTTGAGCTCCATCAAGTGCTATTTCTATATCTACTGAAATCATCACATAGATTTTCTTTAATCTATTAATGTGGTTAGTTACAGTGACAGATTTTCTGATGGTGAAATCATTCTTGCCTACATACGGTAAACCTTATCTGATCATAATTTTTAATATGCTCTTGGAATTGATTCATTCCACTTACAAAATATTCATTTATATTTAAGGAAATCCAGCCTAGAAGCTTCTCTCTTTATTTTGGTGTCAAGTATACCTAATCTCTTTTTTCATTCTTGGGACCCACTTATTTATGATGAGAATGATGTATTCCTTGAAAGTCTGGTTCACCTCACCTCTAAGATCCTCCAGTTTGGGTGCATTTTGGGAGAGATGGTGAGTGAAAGGGGGTGGATTTTAGTACCATGTCAGTTTATTTATTTATTTTTTATTATTATTTTTGTGTGTGGTACGCGGGCCTCTCACCGTTGTGGCCTCTCCCATTGCGGAGCACAGGCTCTGGACGCGCAGGCCCAGCGGCCATGGCTCACAGACCCAGCCGCTCCGCGGCATGTGGGATCTTCCGAGACCAGGGCACGAACCCGCGTGCCCTGCATCTGCAGGCGGACTCTCAACCACTGCGCCACCAGGGAAGCCCCAGGTCAGTTTATGTAATGGTTGTTAGTTTATTCAGGATTTTTCTCTTATATCAATTATGGCATTTAAAAATATTTTTTAGTAATGCACTCCTTGCATCTTGATTTTAAATTTACTCATGTATGTTATTCACAATATTTTTATCACTATTAAATTTCAGTTATATCTGTAACTATTGTGGCATGTGCTGTGTTGGGCTCAACTTAAAGTCTCTCTTTGTTCGAGAAGCAGGCCCTCCAACCCCTCCTGCACAGGCTTCCCAGAACCATCACTAGTGAGGACGCACGAGGGACTGCGGCCACTAGAGCGCATGCCAACGCGCATTCTACCTACCTATCTGTATCTATCTATCCTCTGGCATCATCATCATCACTTTGATACAGAAAACGGCAGCACACTCTGTGTAGGTCCTGGTGAGCGTCAGGCACCATATGTGGAACAGCTCATCCAGTTCTGCATCACCTCCATGAGGTAGGAACAGTCTGATTCTACTGGGCCAATACAGAAGCTGGAGGTAAGGGAGGTTCAGGCAACGGGACAGTGGTGTTCAAAGTTTTTCAATTTGAATCTTTAACATACAGACATTTAGAGACTCTTTTTTTTTTTTTTAATTTTTTGGTCGCACGGCATGCAGGCTCTTAGTTCCCTGACCAGGGATCGAACCTGCGCTCCCTGCAGTGGAAGCGAGGAGTCCTAACCACTGGACCGCCAGGGAAGTCCCCAGACATATAGAGACTTTAACTTCTATGAAGTTTGTAGCTATCAGCAGTGTATTATAATACCCATTTCCCTTAATTCTTGACCATGCTGGATACCTTTTTCTTTTTTTCTAATCTTTGCCAATTTTATAAGTGATAAATTATCTTACCATCATTATAATTTTCATTTCTTTGATTATTAATGAGATTGAAAAAATTTCATACATTCATTGATAACTTGTATTTCTTCTTTGGTAAACTGCCCGTGCATGTCATGTGCTGATTTTTCTATTAGAGTTTATACATATCAATATCTAAGAGCTTTTAAATGACTGATACCGAAGATTTCTAGGCAGCCACCTAAATTCAAATCCCCACACTTCTAAAAGATGATGGAGAACAACAAGAATAGGTAAAACTACACAAATCTGCACCCCCATCATAATGAGAACACAGAGAGGTGATGAACTTCAAGTTACATATAAGCAGAAAAGGCAACATAAAGTCCCAGTAAGCTTACGATGACTGTTTCAAAAGAACAAAGTGTGTAATCCCTCCTCAAGAAACTAGAGAAAGCAGAGACAATTAAATACAATGTAAGGAGAGGGAAAGAAGAATTTAAAATAAGAGAAAAAACAATGGAAATTGTTTAAACAGTTAAATGATAAAGATTGTCAACAAAGTGAAAAATTGCTTCTTTAAAAAGATTAATAAAATTGATAAACTCTTAGCAAGATTGATCAAGAAAAATACAAATTACGGACACCAGGAATTTTAAAGAATACATCATTACAGATCCTACAGACATTAAAAAGATAGTGAGGAAATAATAAAAATGATACTCAAGAAATTAATTTACCAGAATTGACCCATTAGAGATAGAAACCTTAGAAGATCGATTTCTGTAGAAGAAATAAAGTTATCAAGGAACTAATCCAGGGTAATGCACCAGGCCCAGATGGTTTTAAAAAGGAATTCTACCAAATCTTTAAAAATCAGATAACACCAGTGCCCCATAAATCGTCTCGGAAATAGAAAGTGAAGGAAACTTTCTAATTCGTTTTAAGAAGTATAACACTGACACTTGATTCTGATAAGGAAAATACAATAAAACTAAAATTGCTTACTGTGACTACTGGTGCAAATATGCTACATAAAATATTAGCAAACAGACTTCAGTTTCACGTTAAGAAAAGTATACATCATGACCAAAGGAATTTGTTCCAGGAATGCAAAGTTGGATATCAGGAAATACTAAGAAATTCATTAATATAATACACCACATTTATAGATCTAAGGAGAAAAACCTATGATTATCTTTTTTTTTGGCTGTGTTGGGTCTTTGTTGCTGCGCGTGGGCTTTCTCTAGTTGTGGTGAGCTGGGGCAACTTTTCATTGCGGTGCGCAGGCTTCTCATTGTGGTGGTTTCTCTTGTTGCAGAGCATGGGCTCTAGGTGTGCCGGTTTCAGCAGTTGCAGCACATGGGCTCAGAAGATGTGGCTTGTGGGCTCTAGAGCGCAGGCTCAGTAGTTGTGGCGCATGGGCTTAGCTGTTGCGCAGCATGTGGGATCTTCCCGGACCAGGGCTTGAACCCATGTCCCCTGCATTGGCAGGCGAATTCTTAACCACTGCACCACCAGGGAAGTCCCTATGATTATCTTTATAGATGGCAAAAAGCTTTCAACAAAATTCAACACTCATTCCTGATAAAAACACACAAGAAAATAGGAATTGTGGATACATCTTAACCTGGTAACATGTGTGTGCATGTTGTATGTGTGTGTGTGTCTGTCCATGTTATTCCCAAGGTAGCAACTTAATGGGGGAAAATTCTAGGTGTTTCCAGTATGATCAGGAAGCAAGGCAACTATGCCTATGACATCCCATACTGGGGTGTGTAAACTACACCCCCCGACATATAGCCTGCCACTGGTTTTGTAAATGAAATTTTACTAGAACACGGCCACACCTGTTCATTTACGTATTGTCTCGAGCCACTTTTGCACTACAACAGCAAGGCTGAGTAGTTACGACAGAGACAATATGGCCCAGGGGTCCCCAGTGCCCAGGCCGCACAGCAGGAGGTGAGTGCAGCGGGCAAGTGAGGGAAGCTTCACCTGCCGCTCCCCATGGCTGTCCGTCACTAGCATCCCCGCCTGAATATCCCCCCAACCCCATCCGCGGAAAAGCTGTCTTTCATGAAACCAGTCGCTGGTGCCAAAAAAGTTGGGGACCGCTGATATGGCTCACAAAGCCTGAAATATTTCACCATCTGGCCATTTAAAGAAAGAGTTTGCTGACTCCTGTCCTGTAGTATCTGGGGGGTGTTAACTGTTGCAACTAGAAGAGAGAAATCAATGGGAGGTATAAGAATTGAGAAAGTAAAACGATGGCTATTTGCAGATGATACCATGGTTTACTCAGAAAACCCTAGAGAATCAATGATAAAATAACTCAAAGAATTCAGTAAGCAGCAGGGATATAAAATTAAATATATATATTCAATAACCTTTACATATGAGAAAAATGACCATATTAGAGGACATCATGGTGGTTAAAACCCCATTTACAAAGAAGACCCAGGACTTGTAAACTCAACAAGAAATGTGCAAAATCGATGCAAAGAAAACGTCAAATCATCTCAACAGGGCTTCCCTGGTGGCGCAGTGGTTGAGAGTCCGCCTGCCGATGCAGGGGACGCGGGTTCGTGCCCCGGTCCGGGAAGATCCCACGTGCCGCAGGGCGGCTGGGCCCATGAGCCATGGCCGCTGAGCCTGCGCATCCGGAGCCTGTGCTCCACAACAGGAGAGGCCACAACAGTGAGAGGCCCGCGTACCACAAAAAAAAAAAAAAATCTCAACAGACACAAAGTTATATGTGAACAAATGGAAAGACATCCTTTGCTCTTGGACTGGGTGACTCACCATCATAAAGATGCCCATTCTTCCTAAGTGAAGTTCTCAACAGAGTGCAATATTGTCTATATCAAACTTTGTTATTGACCTACAGCTGATTTACAATATTGTGTTAGTACAGGTGTACAGATATATATACATATCTGAATCACTATATATATTTTTATATACTCTTTTTCGGATTCTTTCCCATTGTGGGTTATTACAAGATACTGAGTATAGTTCCCTATGCTATGCAGTAGGCCCTTATGGTTTATCTATTTTATATATAGTGGAGTGTATATCACATTTTTATGGAGCCAGCAAGTTGATACTAAATATGGAAAGTAAACACGC